GCCACAGCAGAGAGCTGGCCTGGAAGAGGGGCAACCGGGACAGAATCCGGCGCCCCAACTGGGACTAGAACCCGGTGTGTCGGCGCCGCAAGGCGGTGGATTAGCCTATTGAGCCGTGGTGCCGGCCTTAAAAGATTTATTTATTTGAAAGAGTTACACAGAGAGAAGAGACGCAGAGAAAGGCGGGGGGTGGGGGTGGGGGTGGGGGTGGTGGTCTTCCATCCTCTGGTTCACTCCCCAATTGGCCACTGTGGCTGGAGCTGTGCCGATCAGGAGCCAGGAGCTTCTTCCAGGTCTCCCATACAGGTGCAGGGGCCCAAGGACTTGGACCATCTGCTGCTGCTTTCCCAGGCCATAGCGAGAGCTGGATCAGAAGTAGAGCAGCCAGAACCCTTAACTGATACCCACATGGGATGCCAGCACTGCAGGCAGCAGCTTTACCCACTATACCATAGCACCAACTTCCTGATGCTGTGTTTTGTTTTTAAAGATTTTATTTATTTATCTGAGAGGTAGAGTTACAGACAGTGAGAGGAAGAGACAGAGAGAAAGGTCTTCCCTCCGCTGGTTCACTCCCCAGATGGCCGCAATGGCCAGAGCTGTGCCGATCCAAAGCCAGGAGCCAGGAGCCTCTTCCTAGTCTTCCATGCAGGTGCAAGGACCCAAGCACTTGGGCCATCTTCCACCGCTTTCCAAGGCCACAGCAGAGAGCTGGATAGTAAGTAGAGCAGCCAGGACTGGAACCGGCACCCATATGGGATGCCAATGCCGCAGGCTGAGGATCAACCTACTGTGCCATGGCACTGGCCCCAATGGTGTGTTTTTTAAAGTGGCTTCTACTTCATCTATTTTGTATTTCTTTAGTCTTTTTTCATCTCCCTGCTCTGTTCCTTCCATAAAATGTGCCATACATTGTGTTAGAAGCTGAGCACGTATGAATGCCAAGTACACACACATGCACGCAAATAAGAGTGGTTTCTGTTAACATGAAACCACTGAATAGATTAGGGGAAGACGGACACTCCATTATATCTAAGTGTGTAAACAAATTTGTAAATAAATACATAGTTTCAGTTCACGATCTCATCCTTCAGGTGTAGATTCTGCTAGAATAACTCATTTCTGGGGCCCTGTCGTTTATACCAGCACTAATGTCTTTAAGCTCCCAGAGCTGTAAGTAGTTCTGCTGCTGCTTGAGTCGCTGCCTGGGAAAGAGGAGCCCAGAGACCTGATGAGAGGAGCTAGCCACGGGACAGGGGTGACTTTGGGGTTGGGCTTCCTCACGGTCAGAGCTGAGTAGTAGCTGTTGCTGGTGTAGCAGGGCTTCAGAAGAGCACTGTCCCGGCCTGCCTTCCACCAGTTAGCTCTGTTTCATGGGCTTTTAGGACCTTTTTATTTTTGTTTTAAAGCGAGTAAGTTGAAAGCCTTAATTTCATTTATTTATTTGAAAGTCGGAGTTACAGAATGAGGGAGAAACAGAGATATTTTATCCACTGGTTCACTGCCCAAATGACCACAACAGAAGGATCTGGGCTGATCCTAAGCCAGGAGCCAGGAGCTTTTTTGGGTCTCCCACATGGGTGCAGGGGCCCAAATACTTTGGCTGTCTCCCATTGCTTTGCCAGACCATAGCAGAGAGCTGGATCAGAAGTGGGGAAGGGGGGAATGTGGCATAGTGGATGAAGCCACTGACTTACAATGCTGGCATCCCACATGGGTGCCGATTCAAGTCCTGGCTGCTCCAACTCCCGTCCAGCTCTCTGATATGACCTGGGAAAAGCAGAAGAGTCCTTGGGCCCCTGCACCCATATGGGAGACCTGGAAGACACTCCTGGCTTTGGATTGGCGCAGCTCCAGCCATTGTGGCCATCTGGGGAGTGAACAAGCAGAAGAAAGACCTCTCTCTCTGCCTCTTCTTCTCTGTGTAACTCTGACTTTCAAGTAAATAAATAAATCTTTTAAAAAAAGGTTTTTTTTTTTTTTTTTAAAGGCATAATTAGAGATCTTCCGTCCACTGGTTCATTCCTCAATGGGCGCCATGGCCAGGGTTGGGCTAGGCTGAAGCCAGGAGCTTCCTCCAGGTCTCCCTGTGTGGGTTCAGGGGCCTAAGGACTTGGGCCATCCTCTGCTGCTTTCCCAGGCCACAACAGGGAGCTGGATCGGAAGTGGAGCAGCTGGGATACAAACCAGTGCCCATATGATATACTGGCAGTGGTGACTGCCTAACTTGCTGTGCCACAACTCGAGCCCTGGGTTCTGTATTTTAAAATTTACCTACTTGCTAAAACTTATTTGTAATCCCCAAATCAGTTCTCTCTGTGTTGTCAGTCATTTGAGGACACGTGCAAAGCAGAAAAACTTTGAATCATTGAATGCACATGTTCTTAGCTGAGGTCAACAAAAAAGTCAAAAAAGTGCTGGGCAGTGCTGCTGTGCTGTGGGTTAAACCACTGCTTGTGATGTCAGAGCCGGTTTGAGTCCAAGCTGCTCTGCTGCTAGTCCAGCTCCCTGTCAGTGCACCTGGATAGCAGCGGAAGATGGCCCAATTCGGGCCCTGCCATGCACTCACTGGGAGACCAGTTAGAGCTCCTGGCTCTTGGCTTCAGCCTGACCCAGCCTTGGCCATTGTGGCCATTTGGGGTGTGAACTAGTGGATAGGAGATCTCTCTCTCTCTCTCTCTCTCTCTGCCTTTCAAATAAATGAATCTTAAAAAAAAAACAAAGATGGAAATGATACTCTTCCTCGTTTGAGCAGTCACACTGCTCAAGTAACCCAGGGTCCTTTTCGCAGTCTGTGCAGTGCCTTGTTTGTCACATTTTGTGCATTTTGTTGATGATTTTCCTGTTTAAAATGGTCCCCAAGCATATTGTTGCAGTGCTGGGTGGCAGCCTTCAGCACAGGAACACTGTGAGGTAGCTTATGGAGAGGATGTGTGCGTTCCAGAAGCTGCTTCCAGGCAGGAGTGACCATGCTGTTGGCCATGAATTCAACATCAAATGAGCTACTATATATTAAGTAAAGTGTGTCGGCAGAAGTTCATAAAGTCCAGGCTTATGAACTGATGAGAATGTTCTTGCAGGCTTGCAGGAAGCTTACTCTGTATTTACCCTAGAAGCAGTGGTTTGGTATTTGAGGAAATAACTACTGTACAAAGCTTGAGAATTGCTATTTTTCCCCCTCTGTCCCATTTGAGAATAAGTTGTGGCTGATTGCCCCATAGCGTTATTTGTAGAAAAATGAGAGAGAAGGAAAACTTCCCATTTGATTACTTTCCTTTCTGGCCTTGGATTCGGTTTGAGGTCACACATTGCATTTGTCTTGGAGGTCTCCTTCAGTTTGGAACTCTTTGTCGGTCTTTACCTCTTTTTGAACAGTTCAGACTACTTACCTTTAAATAATGTTTCTCAGATTGGGTTTCCTCAGTGTTTTTCTATATTTGAGTTTCCTCAGTCTTTGTGATTAGACTCAAGTCGGGCATTTTTGGCAGAAATAACCTCAGAAGTGATCCTCTGTCCTTCCTGGTGTGTGATATCCAGAGACACATCATGTGGGTTGCTCTCATTACTGTTGATGTTAACTTTATTCACCTGGCGTTTCCATTTCTGCACTGCAGAATGAATAAGTATTTTGTGGGTAGATGCTTTTTTTTAATGTCCTGTTCTGCATCAGACTAGCACTGACTTGGTTTTGCATCCATTGATGATTGTTTCCGATTCAGTTATTAATGTGATGGTTCTTAAATGATGACTTTATAATCCTTTCCAAATTTATTGGCATTCTGCACAGCACAACTTTCCCCATGCATTTATTTACATATATCAGTATAGATTGTGTATTTTTATTTTATTCATTGGGGTTTAATCTGTTGCTACTCAGTTGTTCCAGATTTCGTCATTATTATAAGCAGATTACTGTGTCTCCCTTTTTTTAAATTACCAACCCTACAGGGGCTGCTTGCAAAGCTGGCATCCTCTGTTGGTGCCGGTTTGTGTCCCAGCTGCTCCACTTCCAATCCAGCTCCCTGCTAATGGTCTGGGAAAAGCAGCAGAAGATAGCCCAAGGGTTTGGGCTCCTGCCACCCAAGTGGGAGACCTGGATGAAGTTTCTGGTTTTGTCCTGGCATTGCGGCTATCTGGGGAGTGGACTACAAGATTCTGTCTTTGCCTTTTCCTCCCTGCTCACCTTATTTTTTTTTTTCTTTTAAGATTTGTTTGTTTATGGGAAAGAGATCTTCCATCTGCTGGTAAATTCCCTAAATGACCATAATGACTGGGCCTGGGTCAAGCCGAAGCCAGGAGCCAGGACCTCCGTCTGGGTCTCCATGTGGGTGGCAGGGGACCAGACACTTGGGCCATCTTCCACTGCTTTTCTCAGGTGCATCAACAGGGAGCTGGGTCAGAATCGGAGCATCCGGAGCATATTAGCACTCATATGCATTGCTGACATCACAGATGGCAACTTAACTTGCTGCACCACAACACCAGCTCCACTTTTCCCTTCCTTGATTGTAAAAGACAATTTCTTAATGTTTCTGAGATGCTGTGAAAAGCCGGCAACTTATTAGTGTTTAGTGAAGATGTGTAATTTCATATTGATAACAAAGCTACATTATCTGAAAATCTTTCATATATATATGATTTACAGATAATATGTACAGAAATATATATATTCAGCTTATATATGTGTATATATATATGAAGCTGTTTCCAGTTTATGAATGAGTTCTCTTAAAATTGCATAGGAAAAAAGAATGCGTTGGGCCATGACTTCAGGGTGCCCTCCAGCTCTGTGGTTCCTGCCTGGAGCAGACCTAGCAGTACCCACCTGCAGTGGCTGGCAGCTCTTTCTGTCAAGAGATTGGGCTGCTTATTGTCCTTGAAGCATGGTTAGGTTCAGTCTCAGTGAGCTTGTCTGTTTAATCTTGCTTGTATGTTAAGAGGTATTTGCATCACATGCACAGATCTTTTTATTCTCTCTCCTCTTATTCCCCTAATTTAAGGTCTTTCAGGGATGGTGCAGTTAAGAAACCTTATTCTCCAAAGATACTGTCCAACAAGAAGTCTTCTGCCTGCTCTGGGATCCGGAGGGAGTTTCCTGTTACCAGTCATCCAGTGCGGTATCATACTTCCCGGACTGGGACTCGACAGGGTCGGTTAAGAGAATTGCGCATCAGGTGAGCTTATGAGTGGGCTGCCTGCTGGCATGGACTTTTCTCCGTTCATTTTCCTTGGTTAAAATGAGGGAATGATTCTTATTTGATTTTTTTAAGGATTTATATAATTATTTGAAAGGCAGAGTTACAGAAGAGAGAGAGAGAGAGGTGTGACATCCTCTGGTTCACTCCCCAAGTGGCCGACATGGCTGGAGTTGCACTGATCTGAAGCCAGGAGCCTGGAGCTTCTTCCAGGTCTCCCACATGTATGCAGGGACCCCAGGAACTTGGGCCATCTTCTACCGCTTTCCTAGGCCATAGCAGAGAGCTGGATCAGAAGTGGAGCAGCTGGGACTCAAACCAGCACTCATAAGGGATGCCAGCACTGCAGGCTGTGGCTTTACTTGATATGCTACAGCACTGGCCTTGATTCTTATTTTCTTACAACAGTTAGTTGGAAAGCTTGATATTTAGAACCTGCATACCTAAAACCTGTAATTGAATTATTTCTTTCATGTTCTCCAGTGTGCCCCACCTTATGCAAGTTAAAAGATTCCTCCAGAAAAAGTTGAAACATGGGCCAAGAAAAATGATCATTGGTCAGTTATGTTAAAGGTCCATTTATTCATTCAACAAAAATTTGTCAGGTGCCAGCTCTCCAAGATATTATGTTAAGCGCTGAGCATAAAGATACGGCATGATAAATGCTATGAGAGGAGAAGGATGTGGTACAGAGGCATACATGGCAAGATCAGCCCCATTATAGAAGCAGCAGTGACCTTCTGGAGGAAGTGGAGGTTAGAGTGGGTCCTGAGGATAACGTAAAATCAGACAAAGGGCAGGTGGAAGAATGTCCCAGACCCAGGCCAAAGATCAGCTGCATAAGACAGTTAGATTTCCTAGTGTGTGTTCCAAGCACTGTGCTAGCTACTGCAGATACTGTGAGCCTGTTCTTGGGCTCACAGTGCAGAGGAAATGACAGACACCCTGCAGGTCCATGGCTGTGATATTGTATCATTTGTCACACAACAGGTGTGACCAGAGTGCTGGGAGGTCACAGCTGCTCCCCCTGGTTTGAAGGGGAAGGTTTGGGATAAGTGGGTATTTATTAGGCATTTAGGATAATGTGAATGAAGAATTGTCACATTGTTCCTTTATCTTAGCTTTCAAGTCTTTATCTTTTCATTGACTACACACACACACACACACACACACACAAACACATACACACACACACAAAAGAGAGGGAGAGACAAAGGCCCAGGCTAGACCAAACCAAAGCTGGGAGCTAGGAACTCAGTTCAAGTTTCCCATGTGGGTGGCAGGGACCCGACCACTTGAGCCATCACCTACTGCCTTCCAGAGCTGTCTTAGCAGGAAGCTGGAATTGGAATAGAGCCAGGACTTGAAACCAGGCACTCCTATATAGCATGTGGGCATATTAAGTGGTTCACAAATATTTGCCCTGTTTATAAACCAGTAGCCAAATGGAGTTTTAAAATGTATATATTCTTTCTTACAGATGTGTGTCCAGAAAGTTCTTATATTTGTGGATTCGAATGACTTTTGGAAGAGTATCTCCCTCTAAAGCCAGGTAATATTAGCTCAAAACAACAGATTTCTATTGAATGTGTTTTAATTTTTTTTTCCTTTTATTGACACATATGTTATACATCCATATTTACCAGAAAAGATGTGATGTTTCAATACATGTATATGTATTGTATATGTATATATGTATATGTATATGATCATATTAGAATAATTAGCATATCTATCACCTCTAGTGTTTATCATTTCTTTATGGTGAGAATATTAAAACTCCTCTCCTAGCTATTTTGAAATATACAACACATTATTGTTAACTGTAGTCACCCTCCTGAGCAGTGGGATAACAGAACTTGTTCCCCTTTCCTGCTGGAACATTTTTTTTTTTTTTAAGATTTATTTATTCCTATGCAATTTTATTTGTCTGAGAGGCAGAGTTACAAACAGGGAGAGAGAGAGACTGAGAGAGCTCTTCCGTTCTCTGGTTCTCTCCCCAAATGGTTGTTGTGGCTGGAGCTGGGCCAATCGGAAGCCAGGGGCCAGGAGCTTCCCCCAGGACTCCCATGAAGTTGCAGGGGCCCAAGGACTTGGGCCATCTTCTGCTGCTTTCCCAGGCCATAGCAGGGAGCTGGATTGGAAGAAGAGCAGCCAGGACACAAGCCAGCACCCATATGGGATGCTGGCACTGCAGGCAGAGGGTTAGCCTACTCTGCCACAGCACCAGCCCCTGTGGAACATTGAAGCTGTTGAGTAACCCCTCCTCATCCCCTGGCCCACTTCCCTTCCTCTGGTAACCATTGTACCAGTTTAAACTTCTACAAGAGCAACTCTTTAAGAGCTTGCAAATGAGTGAGATGATGTATTTATGTTTTTCTGCCTGGTTTATCTCGCCTCATGTAATGTTCTCTAGGTTCATCCGTGTTGTTAGCAATACCTTCAACTTTGTTAATGGCTGAATACTATTCTCTTACGTTCATATAGCATGTTTTCTTTATCCACTCAACTGCTGATGGACACTTAGGTTTATCCCATACCTTAGCTGTTGTGAAGAGTGCTATAATAAACATGGGAGTGCAGATACCTCTTTCACAGACAGCATCCCAATGTTTTCATTTCCTTAGGATATGTACTGCATCATAAGGCAGCTCTACATTTAAATTTTTTGAAAAGCAATGTATTTTTTTAAAAGATTTTATTTATTTATTTAAGAGGTAGAATTACAGACAGTGAGAGGGAGAGACAGAGAGAAAGGTCTTCCTTCCGTTGGTTCACTCTTCAAAAGGCCACAGTGGCCAGAGCTGTGCTGCTCCGAAGCCAGGAGCCAGGTACTTCTTCCCGCTCTCCCATGTGGGAGCAGGGGCCCAAGCACTTGGGCCATCTTCTACTGCTTTTTCAGGCCATAGTAGAGAGCTGGATTGGAAGAGGAGCAGCCGGGACTTGAACTGGCACCCATATGGGATGCTGGCGCCACAGGCAAAGGATTAACCTACTGCGCCACGGCACTGGCCCCTTGAAAAGCAATTTCATATCAATAGTTTTGGCATCTGTGTGAAATGTACCTATTCCTTCAAAAATACAAATGCAGGGGCTGGCATTGTGGTGTAGCCAGTAAAGCTGCAGCCTGCGATGCTGGCATCCCATGTGGGACCCCTGCTAATGGTCTAGGAAAAGTGGTGGAGGATGGCCCACATGTTTGTGCCCCTGCTACTCAAGTGGAAGACCAGGAAGAAGCTCCTGACCTTGGCCTGGCCCAGCCCTGGCTGTTGTGGCCACTGGGTGTGAACTAGTAGATGTAAGATCTCTCTCTCTTGTTCTCTCTCCCTCTTTCTCTCTATAACTCTGACTTTCAAATAAATAAATAAAATCTTTAGAAACAAACAATAACACAGGCGTTGCGGCATAGCTGGTAAAGCTGCCTTCTGTGACATCGGCATCCCATATGGGTGCCAGTTCATGTCCTGGCTGCCTCATTTTTTTTTTTTTTTAAGATTTATTTATTTATTTGAAAGGCAGTTACACAGAGGCAGACACTTAGAGAGAGAGAGTGATCTTTAATCCACTGGTTCACTCCCCAGATCACAGCAACTGTTGGAGCTGCACCGATCTGAAGCTAGAGGCCAGGAGCTTCCTCTGGGTCTCCCACTTGGGTGCCGGTACCCAAGGACCTGGGCCATCCTCTGCTGCTTTCCCAGGCCATAGCAGAGAGCTGGATCAGAAGTGGAGCAACCAGGACTCAAATTGGTGCCCACATGGGATGCAGCACTACAGGCACTGGCCCTACCTGCCACACCATAACACCGGCCCCTGGCTGCCCCTCTTCTGATCTGTCTCCCTGCTAATGGCCTGGCAGAAACTGTGGAGGATAGCCCAAGTGTTTGGGCCTCTGCTACCTACATGGGAGACCTGGAAGAAGCTTCTGGCTTTTTGGCCTGGCCCAGCCCTGGCCATTGCAGCCATCTCAGTAGTGAACCAGCAGATGAAAGATATCTCTGTCTCGCTCTAACTCTGTCTTTCAAATAAATAAATAAATCTTTTTTAAAGACCCAAATACACAAATATAGAAAACTCATATAGAAAAAAACTCATTAGAGGGCCGGCGCCGTGGCTCAATAGGCTAATCCTCCACCTTGCGGCGCCGGCACACCGGGTTCTAGTCCCGGTTGGGGCGCCGGATTCTGTCCCGGTTGCCCCTCTTCCAGGCCAGCTCTCTGCTATGGCCAGGGAGTGCAGTGGAGGATGGCCCAGGTGCTTGGGCCCTGCACCCCATGGGAGACCAGGAAAAGCACCTGGCTCCTGGCTCCTGCCATCGGATCAGCGCGGTGCGCCGGCTGCAGCGGCGGCCATTGGAGGGTGAACCAACGGCAAAAGGAAGACCTTTCTCTCTCTGTCTCTCTCTCTCACTGTCCACTCTGCCTGTCAAAAAAATAAAAAGAAAAAAAAGAAAAAAAACTCATTAGAAAAAAATTTATTTGGGTAGCTGCCCTATATATTTGATATTAGAATCATTTAAAAAAAAAGTTCCCCTAGAGATAATTCAGTACTGGTCAATTCTGTTATACATTAAAGAGGAAATAACAGCATAATAATAATATTCTTTCAGAAAATAGAGAAAGATGACATTTTCTAGCTCATTTTAAGAGATAAGCATAGCCCTGATATCAAAACCTGATGAAGACAAGAAACAAAAATTAGAGAGCAGAAGCCTTGATTAGTACAGGAGGAAAAACTCTAACTGAATATGTAACAAGTCAGATCCAGAAAAAAGTAAAAATGTTGAAGTTTTTGTTTTGTATTAAGTTGATGTTTCGGCGTGTGTTGGTACATCCCGCCCCTGCCTCTCCCCAGCCACCAGAGGGAGGAGCAGTCCCTAATATAACCATGGAGTATAGTGGTGACTTCATGCATGTTAGATGACTGAATGAGCGAGTGAAGAAATCATCCTAAAGTTGATCAGGACTGCTGAGATGTCTCTGAAAAAAAAAAAAAAAGTGCTCAGAAGAAGAAAAGGAAGGCTTTTGAGACCAGTAGACTGGCTTCATGGGGCCTGGGAGGGAAATTGGCATTGGCAAGGGCAATTCTGGTAAAGAGCAAACCCCTCTGCAGTGGCTTCACTTTGTATGGACCACAGCTTCCCACTGCTGTGATATTTGGTTACAATGACAATTGTGTTAGCTGCAGTGCCTAAAAGGGATTGTGCAAGGAATTTATAGGAGACAGAAATGCTGCAGGAGGCAGTGGAGGTGGATATAAGGGGCCAATGAAGAGATTTTTTAAAAAAATCTTATTTATGGGGCCGGCGCTGTGGTGTAGCGGGTAAAGCTGCCGCCTGCAGTGCCGGCATCCCATATGGGCGCCGGTTCGAGACCCGGCTGCTCCACTTCTGATCCAGCTCTCTGCTATGGCCTGGGAAAGCAGGGGAAGATGTCCCAAGTCCTTGGGCCCCTGCACCCACGTGGGAGACCTGCACCCACATGGGAGACCTGGAAGAAGCTCCTGGCTCCTGGCTCCGGATCAGCGCAGCTCCGGCCTTGGCGGCCATTTGGGGACTGAACCAGCAGATGGAAGATTTTCTCTCTCTCTCTCTCTGCTTCTCCCTCTCTCTCTCTCTGTGTAACTATGACTTTCAAGTAAAATAAATAAATTTTTAAAAAAAAATCTTATTTATGAGAGAGAAAGTGAGTGCCCATCCCCAATGTCCACAATGGCTGGGGCTGGGGTAGGCTAAAGCCAAGAGCCAGGGACTCAATCCAGGTCTCCCACATGGGTGGCAAGGACCGAACTATTTTGGCCATCACCTACTGTCTCCTAGGATTTACATTAACAGGAAGCTAGAGTTAGGAGCCAGATCTGGGGCTTGAACCCAGTCACTCTGATATGGGATGCAGATGTCTTAACCTATAGGCCAAATACCTGCCTCCTGGGGATGTTTCAGGAGAAGTGTTGGCGAATATTGTGGGTTCTGCCCTGCTCCCCTCTGCCAGATGACTCCCTAAATGTCTGCCATGGCCAGGAGCTCAAGCTGAGAGCCAGGAACTCAATCACATCTCCCACTTGCGTGGCAGGGACTTGACCATTTGAGCCATCACCGCTCCCTTCCTAGTAGGAAGCTTGAATCAGGAGCCTGAACTGGGAATCAAACCCCAGTATTTCAGTACCTAATGTGGGCAGCCTAACTGGCCTCTTAGCTGTTAGGTCAAACACCCACAACTGGTCTATCTCTCTATCAGGGAAGAAGACTTCCTGGAAGCTTTCGACTGTGTGTGCTTCTCTCTCGTTAACCAGAGCTTTGTCGCTGGCCTCTTTGGGCAATAGGGGAGGTCGGTGTAGCAGTCCTTCCAGCCTCCGTGGTGGATGCTGGTGAGGAAGCAGGGGTTTGACCGTGGTGTTGGGTTAGCCAGTGACTGGCACGAAAACTTGCACGTGGTGCTCTTATTCTTTTCTTTGCTCTTGAGTGGTCACAAGGTTTAGAGGAATGAGCAAAGGACTAGAATCCAGGAGACCTGAGTTTTGGTTCTAATGCTGCCTCTAGCTGATTGATCTGAGGACAAGTTACAGCTTTGGGCCTCAGATTCTCAAAATGTGGAATCGAAGAGTGAGAATAGTTGTTCTCTAAGCATCTACCAGAATTGGAAATCTAATAATGTGTTGCTGTGGCTTAGAGGCTTGTCATGAGTCATGAGTTGTCATTTTCAAATTGTGGTTTGTTTTTGAATCAGGTGGGTTTTTTTGTTACTTTGGAGAAATAGTGGATATCCTGATCTTTGTTTTTTTGGTTTGTCTTTTTTTTTTTTTTTTTTTTTTTTTTTAGGTTTGTTTATTTATTTGAGAGGCAGAGTTACAGACAGAGGGAGAGACAGAGAGGTCTTCATCCGCTGGTTCACTCCCCAGATGGCTGCAACACCAGAGCAGGGCTGATCTGAAGCCAAGAGCCAGGAGCCTCTTCCAGGTCTCCCACATAGTTGCAGGGGTCCAAGCACTTGGGCCATCTTCTGCTTTCCCAGGCCATCAGCAGGGAGCTGGATTGGAAGTGGAGCAGCCACTCGAACCAGCGCCCCTATGGGATGCCGGTACTACAGGCAGAGGCTTAACCTACTACACCACAGTGCTGGCCCCTGGTTGTTTTCCATACAGAGTTATTTGTTTCTTATTTTCAGGAATGTAACAAGGGAATGATCTTGTGTCAGAAATTGCAGAAAATGCCTTTCTGTGCTTAGAGAATATTTTAATTTTATAAATTAGAGTTGTTTTGTCATTGATAAAATTAAACCAAAATGACCATTGAACTAGTAGGGCAGAAACATAAAGCATGTGCCAATATATAAGGCAGTTTTAAAATTTTTTAATTTTAATTTATTTGAAAGACATAGAGGGTCAGAGACGGAGATATCCTCCATTCACTTTTTCACTACCCAAATGCTTACAACAGCTGGGACTGGGCCAGGTCGTAGCCAGGAGCCCAGAACTCAGTGTGATTCTCTCATGTGGATGGCAGGGACTCAAGTATTTGGGCTGTCATCTGCTGTCTCTCAGGATGTGCGTCAGTAGGAAGCTGGTGTTTGAAGACTCAAACCCAGGCACTCCAAAATGAGATGTGGTCATCTTAACTGCTGTGCCAAATGCTTGCCCCAAGGTACTCTTAGATAGGGGGACTATGCCTTACTTAAGACTGAAGAGAAGATCTGAACAAAATTCTTGGCTAGTTTAGGAGGTAGATGAAACAGTCTTACCCAATTATAGCGTTTAATTCAGAAATATTTCTTCCTCATTTTTAAGAAGATTTATTTATTTGGTTGTTTGTTTAAAAGAGTTACAGATGGAGGGGAAGAGAGAGAGGTCTTCTATCGACTGGTTCATTCCCCCCAGATGACTGCAACAGCCAGGGCTGGGCCAGGCTGAGTCAGGAGCCGGGAGCTTCATCTGGGTTTCCCACGTGGGTAGAAGGGGACCAAGCACTTGGGCCATCTTCTACTGCTTTCCCCAGGACATTAGCAAGGAGCTGAATTGGAAGTGGAGCAACCAGGACACACACTAGCACCCATATGGTGTGCTTGTGTTACAGGCTGTGGTTTTACCCTGTACACCACTACACTGTCCCCTTCTTCCTTATCCTTAGCTAATGGCCTTGCTTCCTCTTTTCTCAAGAAAACAGAAACAGTGGAAGATACCTCCACACGGTCCCTCCACCACATCTATCTGCTGCCAGCATCTGTAGCCATCACCTGCTTAACAGGAGGGAAACTGCTATCCATGCCTTCATCTGAGCCACTGTCCTTGACCTGTGCTCTAACGGTCTGCCCATGCCTACCGAGACCATCGCTGTATCAACATTTTTTTTCTTTTCTGTGTTGTCAGTTTTCCCCTTTTCACTAGATCATTTCCTTCATATAAATGCAAGTCTCCACCAAAAAAAAAAAAAAATCTCTTTGCCCCCACTGCTTTCTGCAGCCTGGCACTCTATCTTTTTGCTCTCTGTTCTGTCAAATCCCTGGCCGTACTCAGTGCCTCCAGCATCACTTCTTGTCTATCTTAAATCCACTCCATGGGGCTTCTTCCTTTTTTTCTTTTTTGAGATTTATCTGTTTATTCTAAAGTCAGAGTCAGAGTCAGAGTCAGAGAGAGAATGAGAGAGAGAGAAATAGCCTTTCCATCTGCTGGGCCAAGCCAAAGCCAGGAGCCAGGAGCTTCTTTTGGATCTCCCACATGGGTGTAGGGGTTCAAGCACTTGCCCCATCCTCCGCTGGTTTCCCAGGTGCATTAATAGGGAGCTGGGGGGCTGGCACTGTGGCCCAGCGGGTTTTTTTTAAAGCCCTGGCCTACAGCGCTGGCATCCCATATGGGCGCAGATTCGAGTCCCGGCTGCTCCACTTTTGATCTGGCTCTCTGCTATGGCCTGGGAAAACAGTAGAAGATGACCCAAATCCTTGGGCTCCTGCATTCCTTGGGCTCCTGCACCCACGTGGGAGAATGGAAGGAAGCTCCTGGCTCCTGGGTTCGGATCAGCTCAATTCTGGCTGTTGTGGCTATTTGGGGTATGAATCGGTGGATGGAAGACCTCTTCCTCTTTCTCTCTCTCTCTCTCTCTCTCGCTCTCTCGCTCTCTGGCTCTCTGGCTCTATCTCTCTCTATAACAATGTCTTTAAAATAAATAAATCTTTAAAAAATTGGAAGCAGAGAAGCTGGGACTCGAACCAATGCAAATATGGGATGCTGCTTTTCAGGCAGCAGCTTTACCTGCTATGCCACTCTGTGGCCCCTGCATGATGCTTTTGATACCACCGTTCCACCCTTACAGTTTTTGTTCAGAGTGCTAAGTTTGCTAAAAGCAGCGATGAATTCCTAAACTTTTCCTTTCTTGACTACCAGACAGCCTTACACAGTCCATCATTTGTTTCCGCCAGAAGCCCTTCTCCCAGCTTCTAGGATACCGTGCCCTCACAATTTTCTCCTACCTTTTTGACTGCTCCTTCTAACTCTGCTTTGTCAGTTCCTCCTCATCTAAATGCCCCAACACCCAGCCCTGTAACTGCTTCTGACTTACTTACCTCACTCATGGTCGTGGTGATATCGAATCCCACGGTGATTTCCAGATGTACTCACATACACCCAGTCCACACCTCTGTCTTGAGCTCCAAGAATCCTGCACACATGACAGCTGGGTATCACAGCTCAGTATGTCCCAAATGGAAATTTTTTTAAAAAATAATTTTTAAAAATGTATTTGAAAGAGTTACAGAGAGAGGTAGAGGTCTTCCATCCACTGGTTTACTTCACAAATGGCCATAATGGCCAGAGCTGAGCTGATCCAAAGCCAGGAGCCAGGAGCTTCTTCCAGGTCTCCCACATGGGTGCAGGGGCCCAAGGACTTGGGCCATCCTCTGCCTGGTTTCCTGGGCGCATTAACAGGGAGCTGGATCGGAAGTGGGCAGCTGGGACTTGATCTGGTGCCCATATGGGATACAGGCCTGGGCTTTAACCCCCTGAGCCACAGTGCTGGCTCCCAAACAGAAATCTTGATCTTCCCACAAGCCTCTCCACTGTCTTCCTGCACTCATTGGAAACTCTTATTCTTCCAGAGACTCAAGTCAAACAAAATCTGGGAGTCAGAATTACAGAGAGGCATCATCCATCTGCTGGGTCATTCCCCAGATGGCCACAGCAGCCGGAGCTGGGCCAATCTGAAGCCATGAGCTTCTTCCGGGTCTCCCACATGGGTGCAGGGGGCCAAGGTCTCAGGCCATCTTCTACTGCTTTCCCAGGCCATAGTAAAGAGCTGGTTGGGAAATGGAGCAGCCGGGACTTGAACTGGCACCCATATGGGATGCCGGCGCTGTAGGCAGCGGCTTCACCTGCTACCCACAGCACTGGCCCCACGTGTATCTTTATAAGCCAATTTTTGCAAACTGTGAGTGGGAGAGCAGGAGGGACATGTTAGTAACCTGCACAATTATGAAAAGAGATTCAGAGAGGCCAGTGTGTGTCCTGGTAAAGCCACTGGCTGTAACACTGGCATCCCATGTGGGTGCTGATTTGTGTCCTAGCTGTTCCACTTTGGATCCAGCTCCCTGCTGATGGTCTTCCTCCTTGTCTAGCCACATGGGTGGGTGTAGAGCTCATGCATTTGGGCATCTTCCACTGCTTTCCCAGGTGCATTAGCAGGGAGCCAGATCCAAAGTGGAACAGCCAGGACTCAAACCGTCACCCCTATGGGATGTTGGTCCTGCAAGTGGCAGCTTTGCCCCATTATGCCACAGTGCCGGTCCTGGGACCCAAGTACTTGAGCCATCACCTGCTGTCTCCCAGGATGTTCGTTAGCAGGAATCTGGACTGGAAGCAGAGCTGGCACGTGACCTAGGCTGTCTAATATGGGATGTGGGTGTTCTAAGCAACATCCTAACTGCTGAGCCAAATGCTTGCACTACATATGTCTATTTTTTATTATTATTTTGGCTTTTCTATGAGGTAGCAGTGGCAATATAAAGGCTGTGATTTGGGAGCAGCATTGTGGTGTAGTGGGTAAAACCATCACATGTAGTGCCAGCATCCCATTTGGGCACCAATTCAAGTCCTGGCTGCTCTTCTTCCGATCTAGCTCCCTGCTATGGCCTGGGAAAGCAGTGGAAGATGGCCCAGGTCCTTGGGCCCCCACACCCAAGTGGGAGACCCTGAAGAAGCTCCTGACTCCTGGCTTTGGATTGGCCAAGATCTGGCCATTGTAGCCATTTGGGGAGCGCACCAATGGATGGAAGGCCTCTCTTTCTCTCTGCCTCTGCCTTTCAAGTAAATCTTTAAAAACGAAACTGTGATTTGGGAATAGATGTCGGCTGTGACACTCTGTCCAGCTCTCTGGTTCTTTTTCATTGCCCTAGGTTTTACTGTAGGCAGCGAACATTACGGAAGGTCTTTGAAGCATGGAAAGAAGAGTGGTGGGTCTCTCATCAGGAGTGGAAGCTCTGTGTCCGAGCTGACTGTCACTACAGGTCAGTTTGCATCACTTTGCTTTAATTTTACACAGTATCAAATACACAGTATATTATTATCAAAAATAACTGTTGACATGTTTCTGATCATAAGGACCAAAGTATAGGGTTGCTTTTTTGTTTTTCTTTAAATCTTTTTTAAAGTAAGGTAAAAATCCTAAATTAAATCCAAGTAGGAATTCACATGCAGGGTCCATACACTCCTCCGCACTCCCCAGCTAATTCAAATAACCACTCTGTGTGTATTGTATCATGCCAATTATTTGATGGGACATTTCTTATTGTTTCTCACTTCCAAATAATTTCTAATTCTGAGAGTATTTTGCTTTTTAAGATAGTAATATGTTTTAATTTATATTGATAAAGTGAGAAAGTATTCCATATGCCCAGTCACTATAGAGCACCAAGAATATAGAAAAGGAAAATGCTTTCTCTTTGATATTCTCTTTTCCATGGATATGTGGATAAAAAAATGGGGAATTATACAGAATACATATTTTATACCTTTTTTGGAAAGAAAAAATATTTTTTAAAGATTTATTTATTTATTTGAAAGTCAGAGTTACACAGAAAAGCAGAGGCAGAGAGAGAGAGAGAGATCTTCCATCCACTGTCACTCCCCAGATGGCCACAACAGCCAGAGCTGTGCCTATCCAAAGCCAGGAGCCAGGAGCTTCTTCTGGGTTTCCCATGTGGGTTCAGGGGCCCAAGCGCTTGGGCCATCTTCTACTGCTTTCCCAGGCCATAGCAGAGAGCTGGATCGGAAGTGGAGCAGCTGGGACCTGAACCGGCGCCCATATGGGATGCAGGCACTGCAGGCGGTGGCTTTACCCGCTATGTAATAGTGCCGGCCCTCCAAAAAATATATTTTATACATTGTGTCTTTAAAATGGTATTCACTCTCATTTTAGTCACACTTTTAGGTTCTTTGGGGGCAGGAATTCTGATTTGTGAATATTTAAGGTATTAACATTGAATAATTCTAGTAAGCTGAAATGAAGCCTGAGGAACTGGAGTAGTAAAAGTATGGAATGAAGAAGGTCTTAAAGTGTATGGTATGTGAATCAAAAAGGAACAAGAAAAGGAAGAAGTGTCATTGATTGTGTTTTGGTGGAGAGGAGGGCAAATGTTTTGCATGGTGTGCAGGTTGATTAAGATAACGACTGTTGTTCCAAGCATCGTGGCCTTGTGAATGCCGGAAGTGAAGGTCTTCTTGGAGAAATCAGGCCTTCTCTTCCCCCATGACAGCTCCAAGGGGTGGCCAATGACTGCTCCAAGGACTGTAGGCTTCCCTGTGATTCCAGGACGTGCAGTTGGAACTTAAATGCAGTAGAGTTTTTTTTGTGTCAGGAGGTTCTGTGTTATTTTCTTCTACATAGAGAACAGACTGTGCTGAATGAGGAGCGGTCATTTGCTTTTCTGATTCCTCAGGTACTACTTGTACAACCTGATGTTCCAGAACTGGAAGACCTATATGCACCAGCAGCAGGAGATGAGGAACAAGTACATCAGAGCAGAGGATCATGGTAAGAAAAGGAAGTCCAAAAGATCATGCCCATGTTTACTCTTGCTCAAAAGACAAGCAAATTGTGTCCGAGAGAGAAGACGCTATTTGAGAGGCCGAGAGAGAGAGAGAGAGATGTACACATGGAATTGCTGTCAGCTGGTTCACTCCCAAATGTCCATAGCGGCTGGGGTTGGGCCAGGTCAAAGTCAGTGCCCAGGAATTTAATCCAGGACTCCCAGATGGGTGGCAGGAGTCCAAGCACTTCAGCTGTCATCCGCTGCCTCCCATGCGTTAGCAGGAGGCAGAGGAGCTGAGACTCCAGCGTGGGAGGCCAGTGCCCCAAGCGTCGACTTACCCTGCTGTGGCACAACCTGCAGGAAGGGAAGATTTGTGTGACTCCTGTTTGTGGTTTTCAGAATACGTGTTCCCTGAATGGGGACTCTTGTGGGATCAGATTCCTGTGGCTCTCCCACACGCTGTGGTTTTGGTGCTAAAAGCTCATTTGGCCCTAATTTGTGTGAACTGGCCTGTCCCGGCCGGCTGGTGCAGTGTGCTGCCTGTGTCTCCCATGCACCAGGGGGCTGCCCTCTGTCTTGCTGCCATGTGTCAGGTTGCAGGGAGACTGTGGAGCGGAGCTGCAGTGCTCATTTCTTTCTTTTTGAGGATGTATTTATTTATTTATTTTGAATTAGGGTTCTTCCACCTGCTGGTTTACTCCCCAAATGGGACCAGGCCAGGCTGAAGTTAGGAGCCAGCTTCTTCCTGGTCTCCCACATTTGGGCCATCTTCCATTCTTGGGCCATCTTCCACAGCTTTCTCAGGGTATAGCAGAGAGCTGGATTGGAAGTGGAGCAGTGGGGACTTGAACTGGCGCCCATATGGGATGCCAGCACTGCAGGTGGTGGCTTCATCTGCTACGCCACAGCACCGGCCTCCAGTTCTTTATTCTTGCCAATCTCTTTGTTTTCAAGTTCATTGATTTCTGCTCTTTTTTTTTTTTTTCTCTGACAGAGTTAGTGAGGGAGAGAGACAGAGAGAAAGGTCTTCCTTCCGTTGGTTCACCCCCCCAAAATGGCTGCTGCGGCCAGCGCGCTGCACCAATACGAAGCCAGGAGCCAGGTGCTTCCTCCTGGTCTCCCATGTGGGTGCAGGGCCCAAGCACTTGGGCCATCTTTCACTGCCTTCCTGGGCCACAGCAGAGAGCTGGACTGGAAGAGCAGCAACAGGGACAGAATCTGGCGCCCCAACCAGGACTAGAACCTGGGGTGCCGGCGCTGCAGGCGGAGGATTAGCCTAGTGAGCCGCTGCACCGGCCTTCTGCTCCTTTTTTTTTTTTTTTTATTTTTTTTGATAGGCAGAGTGGACAGTGAGAGAGAGAGACAGAGAGAGAAAGGTCTTCCTTTGCCGTTGGTTCACCCTCCAATGGCCGCCGCTGCAGCCGGCGCACCGCGCTGATCCGATGGCAGGAGCCAGGATCCAGGTGCTTTTCCTGGTCTCCCATGGGGTGCAGGGCCCAAGCACCTGGGCCATCCTCCACTGCACTCCCTGGCCATAGCAGAGAGCTGGCCTGGAAGAGGGGCAACCGGGACAGAATCCGGTGCCCCGACCGGGACTAGAACCCGGTGTGCCGGCGCTGCAGGCGGAGGATTAGCCTAGTGAGCCGCTGCACCGGCCTTCTGCTCCTTTTTTAAAAATGATCTTTCTTCTTCAAGCTTTGGTCTTAATTTGATCTTTTCCTAGTTCTTTAATGTACAAACTAAGGTTGCTGATTTGAGATCTTTGTGTTTTTTTTTTTTTTAAGATTTATTTTTATTTATTTGAAAGTCAGTTACACAGAGAGAGAAGAAGAGGCAGAGAGAGAGAGAGAGAGAGGTCTTTCATCCGCTGGTTCACTCCCCAGTTGACCACAATACCTGGAGCTACACAGATCCGAAGCCAGGAGCCAGGAGCTTCTTCTGTGTCTCCCACGTGGGTGCAGGGCCCCAAGCACTTGGACCATCTTCTACTGCTTTCCCAGGCCACAGCAGAGAGCTGGATTGAAGTGGAGTGGCTGGCACTCGAACTGGTGCCCATATGGGATGCTGGCACTGCAGGCGGCGGCTTTACCTGCTATGCCACAGTGCTGGCCCCGGGTTTTGTTTTCTATAGCATTTACTGCTATAAAGTTCCCTTTGGGGATGGTGATGTGACATAATGGTTAAGGCTGCTGCCTGCAACACCAGCATCCCATATGGGTGTTGGTTGGAGTCCCAGTTGCTCCAATTCTGATCCATCTCCCTCTTAATGCTATTAAGAAAGCAGCAGCAAGTGCTTGGGCCCCTGCACCCATGTATTAGACTTGAATGAAGCTCCTGGCTGTTGGCTTTGGCCCGGCCCAGCTCTGGCCATTTGGGAAGTTAATCAGTGAATAGAAGACATCCCTGTCTCTCCTCTCTCTGTGTAACTCTGCCTTTCAAATAAATAAAATACGTCTTTTTTTTTTTTAAATAAAGTTCCCTTAAACACACCTTTAACTACATCATATACATTTTAATGTTAGATTTCTGTTTTCAATGAGTAATGAGTAAAAAATGTTTTATAGTTCCCCTTGAACCTTCTTCTTTGCCCCATAAATTATTTAGAAGTATACTTAGTTTCCTAATATTTGGGGACTTTCTGGTATCTTTCTGTTAAGGATTTCCTTATGATCAGAGAACAAGACTTAGTATCATTTCATTTCTTCCAGATTTTTAAAAAAAATTTTGTTTATTTATTTGAAAGAGTTACAGCAAGAGAGCAAGAGAAACAGAGGTCTTCCAACTGCCGGGAGCTTCTTCCAGTTCCCCAACTTGGTGGCAGGGGCCCAAACACCTGGGCCATCCTCTGCCGCCTTTCCTAGGCCATTTGCAGCTGGATGAGAAGTAGAGTAGCAGGGATACAAACCGGCACTGGTGTCACAGGTGGTGGCTTAACCCACTGCACCACAGTGCCAGCCCCAAGCTGTTATTTTCTGAGCGCTAATTTGCACGAACAATCTGCAGTGATTCTGATGCACAAGATAGTCTGAGAATCCTGCTTCTCTAAAGTACTAAGTATTTGCAGACTTTTTATATAACAGTGTAAGGTTGAGTGGATACTCCCTGTGATCTGTGGACAAGGCCTGAAATAACCATCATATGTCACAAATAACTCTTTATTTTAAACATCAAAGGGAGTTTTCCTGGGGCTGATGTTGTGGTACAAGGGGTTAAGCCACTGCCTGTGATGCTGGCGTCCCATAATGAGTGCTAGTTTGTATCCCAGCCAGTCCACTTCCAATCCAGCTCCCTGCTAATAGCCTGGAAAAGCAGTGGTATTTGGGTACCTGCCACCCAGGTGGGAGACCCAGATGGAGTTTCTATGCTCCTGGGTTCAGCCTGACCCTGCCCTGTCCTTTGCAGCCATTTGGGGAGTGAACCTATAGATGGAAGATTTCTCTGTCTGTAACTCTGCCTTTCAAATAGAATAAATAAATCTTAAAAAAAAATAACAGTTCATGTTAATTGGAGACATTCTTCATAGATAATTTCACTTGGGCTTTTCAGACATACCTCTGAGGGGGGCATCTTTTCCACAGATGAGGAGCTTGTGTGAGATGACTTGGCTACAGAGTGGAAGGGTCAGTATTGAAACCTGGCTTGTCTCTCTCAGCAGCCCACACTCTAAGCCACAGCGTTGTACTGTGCTCCTGAACCTTGATGGGCTGATTTCTGAGGCCAAGGGTGGGCTCAGGAGCTACCTGTTACATTCTCCTGTACATTTTGGTTTGTCTGTCAGTATTTATAAGGTATGGTGAGCTGTATTCCTAGTGAGCACATTTTGGAGAATGTCCTAAAAAACTTTTTTATAATTTTATTTTTCCCTTTGTATTCTGAAAAGAAATTGACTTCATCAGTGATAACTTTAAAACAATTTATAATATTTCTTTGAATGAGTTATGGAGAGAAAGAGAGAAGTCTTCCATCCTCTGGTTCATTCCCCAAATGACCACAATGGCCGGAGTTGAGCTGATCTGAAGCCAGGGGTCAGGAGCTTCCTCCAGGTCTCCCATGTGGGTGCAGGGATCCAAGGATTTGGGCCATCCTCCACTGCTTTCCCAGGTACATTATCAGGGAGCTGGATCTGAAGTGGAGCAGCTAGGACTTGAACTGGCACCTATATGGGATGCTGGCTTTAACCCACTGCACCACAGCACTGGCCCCAGTCAGTGGTAACTCTTCTTTCCTTTTCTTTTCTTTCTTTTTTTTAAAAATTTTATTCATTTATTTGAGAGGTAGAGTTACAGACAATGAGAGGGAGAGACAGAGAGAAAGGCCTTCCTTCCATTGGTTTACTCCCCAAATGGCTGCAGTGGCCGGAGCTGCACAGATCCAAAGTCAGGAACCAGGTGCTTCTTCCTGATCTCCCATGTGGGTGCAAGGGCCCAAACACTTGGACCATCTTCTGCTGCTTTCCCAAGCCACAGCAGAGAGCTGGATCAGAAGAGGAGCAGCGGGACTAGAATCGGTGCCCATATGGGATGCTGGTGCTGCAGGCCAGGGCTTTAACCCACTGTGCCACAGCACTGGCCCCAAGTGGTAACTTTCATAATGAAAATGGAATTTACCACAGAAGGACACTTGTGGGCTTTCGTACCTCCCACATCTAGTAAGTTGTTTTTCTTTTATGATCATTACTTATCCTCTTTATTATTTCCCAATTAGACTCATTTCTTACATTCTGCTTTTTCTACTTTAGTTATTGTTAGAAAAAGCAAGTTTTCTAACATAATTTCTCCTTATTTAGCTTCATATTATGGAGATTATTAAGTGTCTACAAAATTGCGAGAATCAGGAACCTCCACATACCTATAACCCAGTTTCAGCAATTATCAGCTCATGGGACTGGCATTGTGTTGCTAGGGATTAGGCCATTGCTTGTGACACTAGCATCTCGTATTGGGGTGCAGGTTCAAGGCCCGGTTGCTTCTCTTGTGATGCAGCTCCCAAATGCTTGGGTTGCTGCCACCCATGGGGAAACTGGGATGAAATGGATGGAATTCCTGACTCTTGCCTTTGGCCTGGCCCAGACCTGGCTGTTGTGGCCATTTAGGGAGTGAACCAGCAGAAATGAAGCTCTCTGTCTCTGACACTCTGCCTTTCAAATAAATAAATAAATAAATCTTTTCTTAAAAAAAATTTGGGTCCAGCACTGTGGTGTAGCGAGTAAAGCCGCCGCCTGTGGTGCCGACATCCCATATGGGCGCCAGTTCGAGTCCCAGCTGCTCCACTTCCAATCCCGCTCTCTGCCAAGGCCTGGGAAAGTGGTGGAAGATGGCCCAAGTTTTTGGGCCCCTGTGTCCACGTGGGAGACCCAGAGGAAGCTCTTGGCTTTGGATCAGCCCAGCTCTGGCCGTTGTAGCCATCCAGGAAGTGAGCCGGCGAATGGAAGACCTCTCTATCTCTCTCTTCCTCTGCCTTTCAAATAAATAAATAAAATCTTAAAAAAAATGCAATCACCAGTTCATGCCAGTATTATTACATCTGTATCCCTAAAAAACTTCTCTGTTGCCTGTTGATGTATAGAATTTAATCTGTAACTATTGAATAATACATCTATAAAGAAATAGGAGGCTGGCGCTGCGGCTCACTAGGCTAATCCTCTGCCTAGCGGTGCCGGCACACTGGGTTCTAGTCCTGGTCGGGGCGCTGGACTCTGTCCTGGTTGCCCCTCTTCCAGGCTAGCTCTCTGCTGTGGCCAGGGAGTGCAGTGGAGGATGGCCCAAGTGCTTGGGCCCTGCACCCCATGGGAGACCAGGAGAAGCACCTGGCTCCTGCCTTCGGATCAGTGCAGTGCGCCGGCCGCTGCGGCCATTGGAGGGTGAACCAACGGCAAAAAGGAAGACCTTTCTCTCTGTCTCTCTCTCTCACTGTCCACTCTGCCTGTTAAAAAAAAAAAAAAAAAAAAGAAACCACACACACAAGAAATAGGAACATGTAAAGGAAGGACTTCCTGGACAGTTCAGTACATTGATCTTTCTTTAAATGTTGTCAGTGTCGTCATGTAGTCTTCACTTGTACTTGGATCTGCATTAATTTTGTAGCACTTCACAACTTTTCCAGCAGGGGGCACACAAAGGCTAGAGAGATTCAGGGATTCAAAGAAAGGATGAATACAGAGAGCCTTGAGCTTTTGTGATAACCCAGGGTAACACATCTCCTCTCACCCTTTAAAATAAATGCCTTTGGTGTGTCTAGATGCAAAGCAAAAGATGCGACAGGCCTGGAAGTCCTGGTTGATCTACGTGGTTTTTCGGCAGACCAAGCTTGAGATGCAGAGCATGGCTGTGGAGTTCAGGCAGCAGAGTATTTTACGGTGAGTGCACTTGATTGCCCCTCAGAGCAGCAGCCGTCATCCTTCACCAACCACTATGTGGGGAGCAGCATAAAACCCATGTTAGGGGCCAGAGTAGCGGCGTAGCAGGTTGAATTGGCATCCCATATGAGTGCAGGTTCAAGTCCTGCTGTTCCACTTTCGATCCACCTCCCTGCTTATGCGGTTGGGAAGGCAGCAGAAAATGGCCTAAGTACTTTGGCCCCTGTCACCCATGCAGGCGACCCAGACTTTTAACTTCCGTCTGGCCAGCCACAGCTGTTGTGGCCATTTGGGGAGTGGACCAGCAGATGGAAGATGTGTCTGTTTGTCTCTTTCTCAGTCTCTGTCTCTCTCTCCATGCTCGTGTGTGTGTAATTCTACCTTCAGATAAATACATCTTTTTTTTTTTTTTTTTTACGATGTATTTATTTATTTGAAAGACAAAGTTACACAGAGAGAGAAGGAGAGGCAGAGAGAAAGAGGTCTTTCATCCGCTGGTTCACTCCCCAGTTGATTGCAATGGCCAGAGCTTCGCCGATCCAAAGCCAGAAGGCAGGAACTTCTTCTGGGTCTCCCACATGGGTGCAGTGGCCCAAGGACTTGGGCCACCCTCTGCTGCTTTCCCAGGCCATAGCAGAGAGCTGGATTGGAAACGGAGCAGCTGGGACTCGGACCGGCACCAATATGGGATGCTGGCACTGCAGGCGATGGCTTTACTCACTACGCCACAGCACTGGCCCGATAAATACATCTTCTTAAAAATTTTCTTAAAAACTTATCTTAAAACAGCTCTTCAAACATAATGCATAATATTAATTGATAATCTGTTCCACTATTATATTTTACATAATCATATTCAAGGCTAATTGAGTATTTACAATGTTCTAAATCCTGCATTAAGTTTGTGTGTATGTTAACTTTTTAATGTAAAATGTATTATTTAATCTTTGCCATATACTGTTATTGCACATTTTACAATGTACAGAAAAGTTGAGTAGCTTGACTGAGCTCACACAAATTGTAATTGGCAAAACTAGGAATCACCTACTTCCACCCCTAACTGCTGTGCTACACTACCTCTCATTAGCATTGCAGAAGCTTTGGAGGAACATCAATTAATCTGCTTTTAATAACAGGGAACTGCTTTATATGGAACTGATACCCCTGTGTGCCTCTCTAGTGGTACTGGGATGTCCTGAATGGTGGTGTGTTAAATGCACAGTTCTTGCTGGAAAGAGCTGGGCTTTTAAAACGGTTAAGAGCAGAGGCTTTGCTACTGTACCAGCTTGGTTTTGAATCTGTGTTCCTACACGTGCTATTGGGTCATTTCACTATCTGGGAAATAAATAGGCAAACTAAGTATATTTCACGGTTGTCATGGGGAATAAACATGGTAACACCTGCAGGGTATTTAGCAGTGTACAGAACATCAGTGGATGTAAAAAAAGGCATTTAAATAAAAATAAGATTATTTAAAATTTATTCAGTGATATTTTTATAATTAAACATTTAATTTACTGAAAAGGCAGAAGCATAAACATAAAGAGATAGAGATCTTCCATCCACTGGTTCACTCCTCAAATGCCTGCAACAGCCAAAGGCTGGGCCAGACCCAAACCAATCACCTAGAATTCAGTCTGAGTCTCCCATGTTAGCCGCAGGGACCCTAATACTTGTTGTGTCACTTGCTGCCTCTCAAGGTGTGCATTTACAGGGACCTGAAATTGGAAGTGGAGCTGGAATTCAAACCCAGGCACTCCTATAGGGGATGCAGGCATCCTAAGCAGTGTCTTAACTACCATGCCAATTGCATGCCCCTCAGCAAGTATTTTTAAATACTTAATTAGTATGCAGTTCTGCTTGAGTCTGTGGTGGATATTTTTGTATAATGAATTCATTTACTCAGTGTATGTTTGTTGAGGCCTTAAAATGTTCTGGTACTATGTTGGTGCTGGGATTATATCCAGGGAGCTAAGTACTTAAAAATAATACTGCAAGACAGCTGGAGATTTTTGGAGTGATTTTGGTAAACAGGGTGTAGGTTAGGAAAAGAGAGTAGGTTCAGAAGAGAGAGGTCTTTGTGGGTAGAGTGAGCAGGCAAGTAGAGCTTCTGGAAAGCGGAGCCTGCAGACTGGTTTTCTCATGGCTGTTGTCCTACGGCAGATTGGAAAATAACTGGAAAAGAAACCAAGACTGAAACCAAAACTTGTCCAGGACAGTTGGAAGGGAAGGAATCCAGCGAGGCAGGAAATCCATGGTTGCTTCTTACATCGATTATTCTGCAGAATCTGATCTTTAAATGTTGACAATAATTATTTTTCACATTTTTGTCTATTTTGTTTATTTTACAGAGAGAGAGAGACAGACAGAATTTCCACTGGGTGGTTTACTCCCCACTTGTCTGTAATAGCTGAGACTGGGCCAGGCCAAACCCAGCGGCTGGAAACTCATCTGGGTCTAACACAAGTTCTTGAGCACTCATTCATTGCTGCTTCCCAGGGTCTGCATAAGCAGGAACCTGGAATCAGTATCAGATCTGGGGCTCCAAACTAGGCACTTTGTATGGGATGCAGGCATCACAAGTGGTATCTTAACCGCTGGGCCAAATGCCTGCTCTAGTAATTAATTTTAAAAGAAATAGACCAAACAGAATATGTCTGTAGTGATTAGGCTGAATCTGACCTTAGGAACCATCAATTTCCAACCCTTAGTTGGCAGCTCCAGAATTGTTTCTCGTGTGTGTGTGTGTGTGTGTGTGTGTGAGAGAGAGAGAGAGAGAGAGAGAGAGAGAGAGAGAGAGAGAGAAACCAGCAGTTTCTCTAGCAGATACTAACCTAGAGATGTCACCGTGAGGGGGAAGGACCAGAGCTGAGGATCTGAAGCCCATCCCTCACTCCCTTCTCTTGTCTGAGTGGCCTTTTTTCTGGCTGGCCCCATCTTTGGTTTGCTCTTTCAGGGTGTGCTGGACAGAGTGGAGGCGGCGACTGGGACAGGCCTGCCTGAGCCGTGCCCTCCATGCGTCAGCTGTGAAGCACAGGGCCCTGAGCCTCCAGCTGCAGGTAATTCCAGTGGACTTGGGTTTGGGTGCTGTCTGTCCATGTGTCAAGCTCCACACCTACAGACTGGGCTCAGACTCCCCAGAGGAAGCTTTGCTGGGCCAAGGGTGCTGATATGGGCAGAAGCAGTGTGGAAGGCTGTGCTCTTTATCAGACAAGACTGCTACTGAGGCCATGCCAGGCCCATCCTGGATGTGATTACCAGTAGTTCCCAGAGTACATTTGTTAGCTGTGGCCTTGGGCAGGGTTTATGAATGTTACAAGCGTGTTGAACAAACGGCAGTGTGCTCTTATTTCCTCCTTACTGTTTAGCTACAGCAAACGAGAAAACTGTGAGAACAGGAAATAAACAAATACCGAAAAGAAAACCTGGATTATTTTTTCTTATAATTTTGCTTATCTTAGAGGTTACTTTTAGTGAAGCCACTAGTTTTTGGTTAGTTATGAAAGCCTAAGGCCTATACCCAAACTATGGTGTGGTGAAACTTTCTTAGGGTCTTTGATATACTCCGAGTTTCTGTCATTTTCTGTGTCTGTTTTGTAATTACAGGATTGCCAAGTCAGTTATAGAAAATAGAATAAGAAAGGGGGTGGAGGAGGAAGCCCAAGTTACTAAATGTAGGAAGAGTATCTTTGTTTTTCTTTATCCCCTCACCAGGAATATGGGTTTTTTTGTTTTTGTTTTTGGTTTTGTTTTTGGTTTTGTTTTTGTTTTTGTTTTTGTTTTGACAGAGTGGACAGTGAGAGAGAGAGACAGAGAGAAAGGTCTTCCTTTGCCGTTGGTTCACCCTCCAATGGCCACTGCGGCTGGCGTGCTACGGCCAGCGCACCGCGCTGATCCGATGGCAGGAGCCAGGTGCTTCTCCTGGTCTCCCACGGGGTGCAGGGCCCAAGGACTTGGGCCATCCTTCACTGCACTCCCTGGCCACAGCCGAGAGCTGGCCTGGAAGAGGGGCAACTGGGACAGAATCCGGCGCCCTGACCGGGACTAGAACCCGGTGTGCCGGCGCCGCAAGGCAGAGGATTAGCCTAGTGAGCTGCGGCACCGGCCCAGGAATATGTTTTTGAACTGATGACATATTGCAAAGTCTTTGGAAGCAGATGCAGATCACATGCAGATGGCACACACAGCTGTCTAGATCTGAGATAACAAGCTCTGGCCCATCCACCACATTTGTCCTGCTGCTTGTTTTTGTAAATAGTTTTATTGGGACACTGATCCACTCATTCATTCATTGATGTGTTATCTGCTCAGGCCTTATAGCCTTATAGACTGCATGGCCAGCAAAACCTAAAATATTTATTTTCTGACCCCTGACCTCTGACCTCATAAGATTGTCTGAGCCAACAACAAGGAAATAAGAGACAGTCTCACCAGTAATATTAACAGTAGCAGCAGCAACAGCAACGGTGGTTTCTGTTGTGGTCTCACTTGTGGTAGGTGCTAGACTAAGTGCTTTGCATACATGCTTTCATAGGATTTTTTTTAAATCCCAGTTATTGTTGAGGAAACTCTGAAGGTTAAATTACTTGAACCAAGGTCATACATGTAGCAAAGGTCAGAGCCGGGTTTAATCCAAGCATCCTGGACACTGCAGAACCACTCTCTGAACCACATACACTCTAGTCCTTACCAGACTCGTCACCTCAGGAGATGACCGGTGGGAAAATGCTGTAAACATGGGAACCTAAAGAGACTGCTTTCCTGTCATTGATGGACAAGCGTGTGGATGCTCCCGCTTTTGGATAGCCACTTTCATTCTGCTGAAGCTACCGCTGTCCAGAACATATTTAGAATTTGCTTTTTATAGTTCTCTTCAAGGCTTGCATCAACAGATTTGATTGAATATTTTTAGTGGTAGCAAGTGTTTATGGTTTAAGGTTGGATTGAACTTACATGAATAGCTAAAAGTCATTCAGAGACTAATGTGAACAGTCAGTACTGATACAGACAAACAGTTACACAAGACTGTAAGTAAGGCCAGACTTCATCCTGTGGATTGTGATGATGCGTTGTGTCTGAGAAGTTCCCGTGGTTTACCAAGGACATGCACCCAGGTCATATCTCTTGATCCTCACAAGCTTCTCTAGGAACGTGTCGGGGCAGACATAATGAGCCATCTGATATTTTAAAAAACATTATTTCAAATGCAGGAACATATAAAAATAAAACATTGTAAAAATATTAACAGCCAAGTACCCATTACCCAGATTTAAAAGGTGTTGGCATTTTGTGTCTTGTTCCAGAATCTTAAATTAGTGTAGTGGACCCTGTCAAAGCCCTGCCCCTCCTTCCTTCGGCTTCCTCTCCTCCTCGAGGATAGCCGCTATTCTGATCCTGATGTGGGCAGTTTCCTGTATTCTTTTTTCCTTGTAAAATTGGTGTATTCTTACTCAAAAAGGTTTTAGGGCATCTGTTTTTTGGGAAATGGATAAATTGTGTTGTGCTATACATGTACTTTCCAACTTGCTTTTCTTTATGCAGCAGTATAGTTTTGAATTATCCATGGGTATATTCAGAGATATTAGCTCGGTATATTAGGTCATCATATGAATAGGGCACAGTTTATCCACTCACCTGATGATAGACTTTTTTTTTTTTTTTTAAGATTGATTGATTTATTTGAAAGAGTTACAGAGAGGCAGACGCAGAGAGAGGGAGAGAGGTCTTCCATCTGCTGAGGTTTGTTACCCAAATGGCCGCAATGGCCAGAGCTGCACCAATCTAAAGCTAGGAGCTTCTTCCCAGTCTCCCACACAGGTATAGGTGCCCAAGAACTTGGACCACCCTCTATTGCTTTCCCAAGCCATAGCAGAGAGCTGGATAGGAAGTGAAGCAGCATATGGGATGCCAGTACTGCAGGCTTTACCTGTTATGCCACAGTGCCGGACCCGGATGGGCTGTTGATTACTTCTACTTTGTTTGCAGTTACCAGCAGTGCTGGAGAGAGCATTCTTAAACATCAAAAAGTTCATGTAAATTTGTATTATGAGAAAAATGCATGGATTTCAGCATTTTTTTCCACCAAAATTAAAGTCACCTTTTAATTCTGTTTTCCACACACTTCAAAATGTTTTTTTTGATCTTACTTGTTTGAGAGAGATGAAGAGCTCCCACGTGCTGGCTGACTCCCAGGGCTGGAGCTGGGAGCCAAGAACACAGTGCAGACTCCCGAGTGGGCAGCAGAGGGCCCTCTACCCAGGACCTGCTGCCTCCCACGTTGGGACATAGGCCTCTTAGCTGCCAAGCCAAATGCCCAGCCCCTTAGGTCTAATTTTACATACTGTATGAAACAGGATCTTAGTTCAGCATCTTCCATCTGGACACTTCATGGCTCCAGCACTGTCTACTGACTAGGCCGTCTTGCATCTTTTTTATGCGGATAGTAATCCACCTCTATTATACAGCGTGGTTTCATCTGTTCGTGGATCTGTTCCTAGGCTTCCTATTCCTTTATTCTATTTGTCTATCCCTCTGCCAACGCCGCCGTGCCACTTCAGTTAAAATTTAATGAAGCAGCTAAGAAAGCTCCTAGACTGCCCTGGGGGAATTCTGCCTCCAGCACCTGTTAGTTTGGGACCTTTAAATGAGTTAATTAGCCTCCCTTTGTGTCAGATTTCTTATCTGAAATAGTGGTGCCTATCTCATGGGGTATATAACGTGCATGGAGCCATGCTGGAAATATGGAAATGCACGATTGTTATTGTGCCTGCTCCTGTAAGCTCCCAGCCTCTATAAATGGGAAGGGAGCTTCTTTATTCTTGTTCTTTTAAAAAATTATCTTGATTGTTCTTCACTTTTTTTTTTTTTTTTTTTTTTAGTAATTTTAGGATCAGCTTGTCAAGTTCCACAACAAAACCTACCAGAATTTTTATTATACTATACTGATTTTTACATTAGGTTTGGAAAATTGTCACATGTACAAAATTGGGAAAACCTCATGGTATCTTGGCAAGCGTGAGAGGGAGAGTGGAAAGGGTGAGTTTAGAAGGTTACAGCCAGACCACAGGGCTTTTCAGGCTGTACCCTGTAAAGGCTTTGGCTTTTATTCCCGGGGAGCTGTTGACTCTAGGAAAGGAGTAACATGATTTCCCCCACCTCTCAACAGAGTCCCTCAGGTTTTTAATGTGCTGCCTTTTGGATAAGAAAGGGAAGGAGAAGGGCCAGAGTTGTGGTACAGCAGGTGAAGCCACCTCTTGAGATGCCAGCATCCCATATTGGAGCATCAGTTTGTGTCTTAGCTGCTCTGCTTCACATCACCTTCTTGCTAATGCCCATTAGATTGCCTGAGTACTTGGGCCCCTGCTGCCCATGTGGGAGACCTGGATGGAATTCTGAGCTCCTGGCTTCAGCCTGGACCAGCTGTTGTGAACACTTGGGGAATGAACCAGCAGATGAAAGATCTGTGTCTCCCTGTCTGTCTGTGATTCTGCCTTTCAAAGAAGTAAATAAATGAGTAAATCTTAAAAGGCGGGGGGGGGGGGGGAGTAGGGAAAGAGGTGTATGTGTTTGATTATACTTGTATTTTCAAAAAGAAATAGTGGAAAAATAAACCCAAAATGTAAAAATGGTTAGCTGAAGGAGCAAGAAGAGAATAGTATGGGAATGGAGTACTTCTGAGTTTAATTTGTTCTTTTGAAACTTTTTTTTTTAAGATTTTTATTCATTTATTTAAGAGGTAGAGTTAAAGACAGGGAGAGGCACAAAGAAAAGTCTTCCATCTGCTGGTTCACTCCCCCAAATGGCTGCAATGGCTGGAGCTGGGCTGATCCGAAGCCAGAAACTGGGAGCTTCTTCTGGGTCTCCCACGTGGGTGCAGGGGCCAAGCACTTGGGCCATCTTCTGCTTTTCCAAGCCATAGCAGGAAGCTGGATTAGAAGAAGAGCAGCCAGGACATGAACCAGCACCTGTATGGGATGCCTGTACTGCAGGAGGAAGCTTAGCCCATTACGCCACAGTGCTGGCCCCCCTTTTCAAACTATTATAGATACATTGTAAGATAAAGCAAGTAACTGGCAGTGTCACTAGGAATCAAGATTTCCAGTGTAAAAGAAAAGAATACAAGTACAAAATGAAAGAAATTAAGTAAAAACCCTCAGATTTGAAATGTAAATATTGAAAGAAGTCATAATTTTTTTTCCTGCCTTAAAAATTTATTTTTATCTCTGTTTCCCAGAAAGATTTAGAAACAGTGGCAGTAGCATATGGCATTTAGCATACCCAGCATCCAAGTTGTGGCCTCCACTATTTCACACTAAAAGGACCTTGTGCTTTCTTTTGGAGGAATTGCTAATAATAGGTTTGGGGCAGAAGATAGACGAGATGAGCCTAGGATATAGCGTTCTGAAAAGTGAGGTAATTAACCACAGCTAATGGGGCTGTGTCACAGGACTCAGGAACACATTTGATCGATAGAACATTTCTGAGCATCCAGTGATTTTAGGTCATTAGCATTCTGATTCTTTGACTACATATCAGACATACATCCCACCTTTACTATATAGCTTTATCTCCGAGAAACCAGAGGGCTAATCAGAGCGAAAGCTAAGAGCTTCTTTACTGAGAGATTGCTATTAATAGGCCGGCGCCACGGCTCAATAGGCTAATCCTCTGCCTAGCGGTGCCAGCACACCGGGTTCTAGTCCTGGTCGGGGCGCCGGATTCTGTCCCGGTTGCCCCTCTTCCAGTCCAGCTCTCTGCTGTGGCCCAGGAGTGCAGTGGAGGATGGCCCAAGTGCTTGGGCCCTGCACCCCATGGGAGACCAGGAGAAGTACCTGGCTCCTGCCATCGGATCAGCGCAGTGCCATTGGAGGGTGAACCAAAGGCAAAGGAAGACCTTTCTCTCTGTCTCTCTCTCTCTCTCACTGTCCACTCTGCCTGTAAAAAAAAAAAAAAAAAAAAAAAAAAAAAAAGATTGCTATTAATAAATGCAGAAGGAATACTAGAATTCCAAAATTGCTGTTTTGCCACCTCTAATGAGGACATGGATCTGGACAATGATCATCAGACAGAAAGATGATGAGAAAACATCCTGGGAGGAATGGGCTGACTGCCACCCAAGCCACTGAACAGCCGTGATGCGTCTCAGCGATGATGGAACAGGCAGTGCACAGCCACACTCGTGTTCTTGCTTAAAAAAGCTGGAAGTGATGCCAACCAAGTCTAATGTGAATCTGTCAGTTTATAGGAAATCCAGGGATCAGAGGAACAAGTTCAAGTTCCCTCGAAGAGACAGTCAGATCTAAAATGTGGGACATTTTGTAGGGTAAGTGACTTGGTTTCTCTGATAGACTGGTGGTGGCATGACAGAGAAGACAGGTAGAGAGGGAAAGGTCATATGAAAAGGAGGGGTTTAAGTGACATAACCACAGCAAACCAAGGAGGGCAATCCGGTTGTTCTGTTAGGAACGGATCAGAGGGTCTAGGGATTAAAACATCCGCATCCTGTATTGGAGTACCTGGGTTCAGTGCCCGACTCTAGCTACCTGCCAGTTCAAACCCTGGCTGAAGTCGTTGGGTTCCTGCTACCCACATGGAAGTCCAGGAATGAGTTCCTGGCTTCAGCCCTGGCCACTGGGGGCCTTTGGGCAGTGAACCAACAGATGGACACTCACTCGCTCTTGTGAAATAAATAGTTAATTTTTTTTAATAGAAAGTGAGATCTTGGACAAGGATGGTAAGTAAGGTGGTACTTGGATTCTGGACATAGTTTGGACATAGCATATAGGATTTGCTAATGGAGAGATTTAATATGTGAACTTCCAGAGAAAGGTGCCAAGAGGATTCCCTGGGTTGAGCCTGAGCATCTGGAAGAGTGGAGTTGCCATTGGCTGGATTAGAGAAGGCTGAGGGAGAAGTGAGCTTGAGCAGAGAGACTGGGAGGAGCCCTCTTCTTAGGAAGACTCCAGGGAGGCAGTGGGGTATATGGGGAGGGCCTCTTGAGCATGGGCCCAGCAGGAGATGGTATCTGAAGGCACAACAGGGGTAAGAATGGAAGGAGTGAGTGTGGTTAGAGTAGAGGACCGGGTGGAGCCTGTGCAGGAGTGTGCAGCAGACACGACGAGGGACACACAGGGGAAGGAAGCCAGGGGAAGGAAGCCGTGAGCGGCTGTGCCAGGTGCTTCTGGCGGAGCAGGGAAGGTGAGGACTGAGTGAGTGTAGACCTTTGCATCAAGCAACGTGGAGATCGAAGATCACTGGATAAGAGCAGCTTCAGGAAGCTGACGACAGGAGGTTCAAGAAAGCTTGCCTGAACGAAGAGAAATTCAAAAACAGCCTTTTGACGCAGGAGCTTGGAAAGGAGGGAGCTGGAGTGTTCCTGGGTGGGCACGTGTGGTCTAGAGTGGGTTGTGGCTTTGACTGAGAATCACTGGTCCATTCCTTTCAGGAAGTGTTTCCGTGACAGTAGTTTTCTCTCAAGTTTTTATTTCTGACAGCAGCACAGAAGAGGTACACACTGTACTTCCCCTGGTTTAACCGCTTGTTAACATCTTGCCACATTTGATTTCTCTAAGTCTAAAATATATTTTTTGAACAATTTTAAAATTATGGTCATAAAGTTTACCCTGAACACTTCAGCTTTTAAATATTAGGACATTGTCCTGTGCAATCATAATATCATTATTATATCCAGGAAGTTTAACATTGGTAAGATTATGTAATGTTTGTATACTGTTCATATTAAACTGTATAATGTTGCATTTTCATGCCTGGTCCAGAGTCCAATCATAGATCACCCATTGCCTTTGGTTGAAGAGATTTTGTTATCTCTTAGGATGGGAGAACTAATAGCACATTCATGTGCTGGCTTTTAAAATCTAGCAGAGAGTGGAAAACTGGGACTGCACGGGAGGGGGAGTTGCCAGAGTGATGAATTTGAGAAGATGAGAGGAGCCGGGGTGTAGCCACGACCCCTGTTGGGAGCAGGAAGGCAGAGCCTCTGCGTGGGTGAGGGTGTGGGCATGGTGGGACCTTGAGGAAATTCTCTTTTGTTGGCATCTGTTTTCTTAGTGAGCCAGGAAGGATGTTATTCAACTGAAGGAAAGGAGAAGAGGTATTCCGGGTTTAAGAACAGAAGACATGATTATTATTGGACTTTCCGTAAAAGTCATCTTCAAGCCAGGGCCTGCATTATCACTGCACACAGGTGCACTTTAGTGCAGTCGTAAGGGAGCTCCACGTAGACCCTCGTATTCTGTAGGTGCGCTTCCCTGAGATGACCCTGCCTGGGGAAGGGCCTCTGGACAGTTGGCTTCCTCCTCCTTTGGAAGAAAGGTCAGACCCACACCCTTCCCAAGTCTGAATTAATTATACCATCCCTCAGACTGTCCCTGCTTCTTGTCCATTGATTTTGTTTTTTAATTTCTCTTTTTAGATTTTTAACAATTTTATTTATTAGACAGAAGAGAACTCTCAACTGCTGGTTCACTCCCCAAATGCCAGCAACTGCTAGAGCTGTGCCAGACCAACATCAGGAGCAGGGAGCGCCCCACAGAGGTAGCAGGGACCCAGCCACGGGAGCCATTGCTCCACCTTCCAGAGTGTGCACTGACAGGAAGCTGGCATTGGGAGTGCAGCCAGGTCTTGAACCTAGGCACACCGGTGCTCGACCAAATACTCGGCATCCAAAGCCTCCCTGCTTCCCGACTTTTATTTTTAATCTGGAAAAAAAATCATGGTGAGCATTACACACAGAAGTTAAGATGCACCTGGGGACACCCGCATCCTGTCTCAGAGTCCCTCGGTTTCAGTCACAGCCCCACTTCCCATTCCAGTTTCCTGCTCATGTGCACTCTGGAAGTCATCCAGTTACAGCTCACGTCCTTGAGCCCTGCCACCCATGGAGGGGCCCCAGATTGAGTTCTGGGCTTCAGATTTTGGCTTGGCCCAGCCCTGTGTGTATCTGTCTGTCTTCACCCTCCTCCTCTGTGCTCCGTCTCTGTTCCTGGTGCTCCTTTGACTGTTGTTTTCTCTGGTTTACAGGCTTGGTGTCAGTGGCAAGACCAGCTCCTGCGTAGCCAGAGGGAGAGACAGAAGGCGGTCTTCGCAGTGAAGCACCATCAGGATCAACAAAAGCGGAGATTCTTAAAGGCCTGGCTTGAATACCTGGATGTCCGCAGAGCCAAGCGACAGAAGAATGGTGAGTAGGAAACTCCAGGCTCTCGAGACGGAGGATCTAGTCACAGTTTGCACTCTGCTGCTGGCAGGAGTGCTTTATGAGGGGGATTCAGATTTGTGGGAAATGGAACTGAAAGCTAAGTTTATTTTGGTGCAGAAAAATTTTGAAATGCTTCCACTGGGTCTTCAAAAAAGTTTGTGGGAGATGCATATTACAAAAAAGCAATACATGATTTCAAAATTTTGCACCAAAAACAAAGTTTTCCTTTATTTTTCTCCTTTCAAAAATTTTTACTTTTCGTTTTGAAAGGCAGAGAGAGAACTCCCATCTCCTGATTCACTCCTCAAATGCCTGCAACAGTCTCTAACTTCAGGAGCTCATTCCAGGTCTCCCACTTAGGTAGAAGGGCTCTTGCTGCCCCCAAGGAGCACATCAGCAGGAAGCTGGAATCAGCAGCCGGAGGTGGGAATTGAACCCAGGCATTCTGATAGGGGACAGGGACATCTGAACAGCTGGGCCAAACACCTGCCCCTAAAGTTATCTTTTAATTCCATTTTCCATGAACTTTTTGAAATACGAAAAAGGAATGTGACCTTGTTATATCACAGATTTTTTATTCAAAGGAGATTTTTTTAACTTTTATTTAATGAATATAAATTTCCAAAGTACAGCTTATGGATTACAGTGGCTTCCCCCACCCCTAAAGGAGATTGAAGAGGAAAATAGATCACCCTCAATTCACTTATTTTCCTCTATGCATACATTTTATCCAAACAGGGGTTTAAATATACTGTAAATACTGATTATGATGATTCATATGATAAATTTTTTAAAAGATTTATTTATTTATTTGCAAGTCAGAGTTACACAGAGAGAGGAGAGGCAGAGAGAGAGAGAAAGAGGTCTTCTATCCGATGGTTCACTCCTCAATTGGCTGCAACTGCTGGAGCTGTGCCGGTCTGAAGCCAGGAGCCAGGAGCTTCCTCCAGGTCTCCCACGTGGGTACAGGGGCCCAAGGATTTGGGCCGTCTTCCATTGCTTACCCCGGCCAGAGCAGAAAGCTGGGTCGGAAGTGGAGCAGCCGGGTTTCGAACTGGCACCCACAGGGGATGCCAGCGCTTCAGGCCAGGGCGTTAACTCGCTGTGCTATAGTGCTGACTCCCTACCTACAACTTTTGTTTCTTGCTTTTTTTTTTTTTTTTTTTACATAGCTAGCCACCACTTTTGTAAGACTTTAAGTTTAAGTACAGTAATGTCACCCCTTGTCTGGGGGATATGTCCAAGACCCCCTAGTAGATGCCTGAAACACTGTGTTTTTCCTGTTACCTATGATAAAGTATAATTTGTATTTTTTTAAATTTTTTTATTATTTTTTTGACAGGCAGAGTGGACAGTGAGAGAGAGAGAGACAGAGAGAAAGGTCTTCCTTTTACCGTTGGTTCACCCTCCAGTGGCCACTGCGGCCGGCGCACTGCGGCCGGCACACCGCGCTGATCTGAAGCCAGGAGCCAGGTGCTTCTCCTGGTCTCCCATGGGGTGCAGGGCCCAAGCACTTGGGCCATCCTTCACTGCACTCCCTGGCCACAGCCGAGAGCTGGCCTGGAAGAGGGGTAACTGGGACAGAATCCGGCACCCCGACTGGGACTGGAACCCGGTGTGCTGGCGCCGCAAGGCAGAGGATTAGCCTATTGAGCCGCGGCACCAGCCTAAAGTATAAAATTTGTAAATTCAACACTAAAAGAGATTAGTGACAATGACTAATGGCAATATACTATAATAAATTATGTGAATATAGTCTCTCTCTCAAAAGAGTCAGGACAAATTTTAATATTTCATATCACACTGACCCTGAGTAACTGAAGCTCTAGAAAGCAAAACCACAGGTAAGGGGAGAAAGCGTTGAGCTGGCCGGCATGACCAGCTACAGACCAGCCTGGACTTAGAGCGTTTGAGTTCCAGGACTGATTGCCTTACACCTCCTGGGATTCAGCTCACCGGGCCGTTAGCCGGCTAGTACTGAGAAGAAATGGAGCTGAGCTAGGGTCAGCCTGGCTGGAAGCTCAGAAACACCTCTGCCAGCCTGGCGGTCAAGCTGCAGGGCATTTCTTAGTCTGAAGTCCTAGCTGGGAGACGTCTGGACAGAGGCAGAAGTGAAGCAAGAGTCCTCGTGGAAAGCAGCAGTCAGCTGTGGCTCATCACAGAAGCCTCCGCTCTGTGATGTAACTGACTGCATGGTGCCCTCCTCCTGAGAGAGCAGATAACAGCTAGGGATTCCTAATGACCTTCCACTGTTTATAATGTTTATCTAAGGACTCTTTGGGGAAGAGCCCCAAATCCCTCCCTGCTGACTGCCGGGGTGGGGTTCAGCTCATCTTAAGGTCGCTTTGAGGAGTGGGCTGCACACTTGGAGTACCTGGGTTTTCATTCCTGGCTGTGGTTACTGATTCCGGCTTCCTGCCGATGCGAATCCAGTGGGGGCAGCAGTGATGACTCATGTCACCATGACAACTCATGTCCATGCCACCGCTTCCCAGCTGCTGGCCTGCCTAGTGCAGCCCTGGCCACTGTGGGCATATGGAGTGAACCAGCGGATGGGAGTATGTGCTTACCCTCCTCTTCATTCTCTCTTCCTCCCCTTCTCCCCTCTCTTACTGTACGTGTCTCTCTGCCTTTCAAATTGGGAAAAAAAATTAATGCTTCCAGCTCATCTCCCAGCATGGGGGGAGCAGCACTAAAGTTCCTGTCTGTTGCAGAAATGGCCCAGCGATTCCACCGCGCTACTGTGCTTCAGATACACTTCTGTGATTGGCAGTGGGCTTGGGAGCGGAGGCAAAGCTTGTATGGCCAGCAGGCTGCGCTGGGGGAGCTGGCCAGGAGGATGGCCCTGCGCGGGGCCTTTGCGCGCTGGAAACACTGTATCCTTCAGCTGCATGAGCTCAGCAGTGGGTGAGGCAAAAGTCAGGAGATAGAGGTTGAACCCTTACCAAAGACAACTTTATCTTCTGTTGACCTGCTTTTACAGTGTGCTGTCTACTTGGGACTTATGTACTTAGAGTTTAAAGAATAACAGTAAAACGAACACCTAGGTCCCCGCCAACCGATCTAAATAACACAACACTGCTGGCAGCCCAGTCTGCTCTCCCCTCACTGCAGGCCCTCTCTCCCCTCACAGTGTCCCCGCCCTCCTCACTGTAGTCTCTTGGTGTCATCGTCCCATTGCTCGTCTCCACCTTCTGAGTAGTAGAGATTGCCACAGCTGTCGCGTGGTGACACCACCACTGTCGCTGTAGCTTTGCTTTGTGGAGATGTTACTGTGTGCATCTGCGCGCGTTGCCCTGTGAGTCCTCATGGCAGCCCTGCAGAGCACGAGTCACTGTGTCTGTGCTACATTGACTTAGGTGAAGTTCAGTGGTTTTCACTGTCACAGCAAACCACTGGCAGAACCAAGAGCTTTTAAAAGTCAGGCTTTCGACTTCTGGGCATGTGTTCTTAATCACTGCCCCATGCCGCAGCACTTGCCCAAGCGTGGGAAATGGGACTGCCTTGCGGTAAAGCCTGCTTAAGCTCTGGGATAGGGGGAAGCTCAAAGACTAACAGGAGGTGATTGTCTGGCAGGGAAAACAGACGCGACAATGCAGCCTTACAGCATGGCGTGACTGTAGCAAGTCCTGCAAGAGCCAATGGAGACTGAGCTGAAGAGGCAGTGTTGGAGTGGAGTCTTGGAGGATAGCAAGTTCACCCCGCGGGAGGAGGGAAGGACTTTGTGCAGGCTGGGAGTGAGCAAAGGCGTTGGACACCCTGTTGTGCACTGTGGGGCTGTGGCTGGCAGAGGCAGGGTGGGGGAGGGCCATGTGGCCTGGGGACTGGCTTGTGCAGCCCTTACGCAGTGAGCAGGAGTTTAGGCTCTCTCCTGAGGGTCACCGGGAAGCCTCTGGAGGTTTTTAAGAAGAGAACAGAAGCAGTCAGATTTGTGCTTTAGAAAGGGTGATTCTGGATTTGAGGAGAGAGGCCAGCCAGGTGAGCTAGTCACCTCACAGCCTGTGTGAAGGACAGGCCAGGTGGGCCATGCGATGTTGGGGGTGAGGACAGAACAGGAGGGTGAGCAGAGGAGAGAGATGTAGGAGAGCAGATGGGCTCAGCAACTGAGTCGATGGGGGGAGTGGGAGGAGAAAACATTTGAAAATAACTCGAGAGGTTTTTAGCTCAAACATCTGACTGGGTTGTGATGCCAAACAGAGCGCAGGGAAGGGAGCAGGTTGTGCTTCAGATAGGAGGATTTTGGAACTGTTTACCGAAGTGGGCAGTGGCTTAGCTCAGGGCGAGGCAGTGCTTGGGAAGTAATTTGCCCGCTGCTTCCCTGGGCCAAGGGCCTGACCCTCCAGGTTGGTCACTGGGATGTGTGGGGCGGGAACCGTGTTGAGACCCAAGCCTTAACGTCCCGGCAGACGTGCTGCTCTGTGCAGAGGAAGCAGCCCTGGCGGAGGTGGCAGAAGAGCACCACAGGCTCAGCCTGCTGGTAAGAGGGCCGTGGCCTCATCAGCCTCGCTCAGGCTCCCGCTCCTGGGGCCCCGGCCCACCTCAGCCCCCAAGGGCAGCCCTCCTTCCATTCCTGGTCAGGGGTTTGGAGCTGTGCAGCGCCCTAGAGTTGGTCTAGTCCTGGGCTTTATGCGGCAGATGCCCTTTTCAGTAATGGAAGCCTAACGCAGCAAGGCTGTGCTTGAAGCAAGGTCTTCCAGGAGCCTGTGGGGTTCCACAGAGCACCCAAGGAAAGCCCACTCGCAGTCTGGGCTCCTACTTCTGTCGCGGAAAACTGAAGCCCTGGGTGTGGGGGCATGGGGACCGCGGGCTCTGCTCAGATCTCATGTGAGGTGCTATTCATGGAGCTGGATCCAGGCCTGGAAACCCTGCCCCTTCCCCAAGCCCGGTTCACCAAAGATTCCTTCTATTGATGCCAGCAGAGCTGCGTTTGGGATCGTGTAAGTGTACACATAGGATCCACACGGTAAACACACCACCACAGCCCAAAAGTTTGTCTCCTTTTCAAGAGGCAAAAGCTAATGTTTGACCTCTGTAGAATTCTCCTGTGGGTCAGGGGATCCCCTGATCAGAGGTGAGGGTGTCTTTGTTCTGTGCAGTGCCTGTGGGCAGTGGGAGTGGCTGATAAATGCTGAGGTACCACAGCCGCTGTGTGGGCTCCTGACTGAATCTCAAGAGAGATTCATTCCCAAGAAACACTTGGGAATGGGGTGGCTCTGAATGAGCTTCTCGCTTCCTGATCAGGGCACCGCCTTCCTTTGTCTGCTCTTATTTTTACAGACTCTGCTGATTCCTGTCTTTGTGACCCGCTGTGTCCTTTCTTCTTTGCCCAGAACTTTTGCTTTAGAGCCCTGAAAGACAATGTAACCCGTGCCCATCTCCAACGAATAAGAAAGAATCTGGCTCACCAGCAGCACGACATGACGGTGAGGGCTATTTTCTGTGCCAACGGATCTCTTTCTTCTTTACTTTAATTGTTTAAAAAAATTATCTGAGAGAAAGAGAGAATATACTCCCACCCACTGGTTCATCCCTGACAACCCACCATGGCCCAGGCTGGGCTGGGGCCAAGGCCAGGAGCTGGAAACTCTATCCAGGTCTCCCACGTGGGTGGCAGGACCCAGTTACTTGAACCATCACTGCCACCTCCTAGGGTCTGCATTAGCAGGAAGCTGGAGTCAGTGTAGAACCCAGGTACTCCGATATGGGACATGGGTGCTTAAACTGCTAGACCAAGTGTCTGTCCTGAGGGACCCCTTCTGATGGCTGTATGCTTAAAGATCTCTGGATTTTAGCCTCCAGACCTTAGTACCCTAAGGTAATCCATACCTGCTGATAGAAAAACTCTTGTGTTTGCCTTGTTGATCCCATTTTTTTTATCTGTTTGCTAAGAGAATTAATGGTTGACCTAGATGTTGAGTACTGTGGATTTTAACCCTGGCCAAAGGGGTATGGTGATATGAATACACTTTAAGTCATGCACCTCAGGTCTGTTCCATTAATGTACCTCAGTCGACCTTATAAAGTTCCTTTATAAATCCATTCTCTTCAGCGGCTTGTTTACCTGATGTCTCTACTTGCACGTTTTGTTTCTGGGTGTGTTTTGCTATTTTATGAAAATGTTCAGGGGCTAGCACAGTGGCATAGCGGGGAAAACCACCACCTGCAGTGCTGGCATCCCATATGGGTACCAGTTCTAGTCCTGGCTGCTCCTCTTCCAATCCAGCTCTGTGCTGTGGCCTGGGGAAGCAGTGGATGATGCCCAAGTGCTTGGGCCCTTGCACCTGCATGGCAGACCTGGAAGAAGCTCCTGGTTCCTGGCTTCTTAGCAGCCCAGCTCCAGCCATGTGGCCATTTGTGGAGTGAACCAGGGGCTGGAAGACCTTTCTATCTCTCCTATCTCTCTCTAACTCTATCTCTCAAATAAATAAATAAATAAATCTTTTGAAAAAATTTCCTTGTTTTATGCAGTTACTACAAACTGAAAGTTAAGAGTAAAGTTTCCATTAGGTTGAAGTAAACATTTTTTAAGACTACCCCATAGATAGTAATGTGCAAGAAGTTTAATTTCTAAGGTGATTTTTAAAATTTATCTTTTATTTATTTGAAAGGCAGGGTTAGAGAGGAGAGAGAGAAAGAGATTTATCTCTCTATCTTCCATCAGCTGGTTCACTCCCCAGATGGCTGCAATGGCCAGGGCTGGGCCAGACCGAAGCCAGGAGCCTGGAACTTCTTCCAGTCTCCCATGTAGGTACAGGAGCTTGAGTACTTGGGCCATCCTCTGCTGCTTTTCCAGGCACATTATCAAGGAGTTGTATCAGAAGTGGGGCAGCCAAGTCTTGAATCAGCACCAATATGGGATGCAGGCATTGCAGGCAGCAGCTTAACCTGCTATGCCACAACACTGGCCCCTGAAGTGATTTTTTTTTGAATGCTGTTGTCTCCCATGAGGCCCATATTAAGAACAGCTTCTTCCTCCAGCTCTCCCTAGACTGAAGGAATCATCTTTTTGTCTTCTACACTGGCCACGAACAGCTCCCTAGCTCAGCCACAATTACTTTGCAAGCCCATGTGTGTTGATTGTTCCACACTGAGGTAATTCCTGCTTTTGGGGAAGCTCATGGCCTGTTGGAGTAGGACTCACCAGTAGGTGAAGAGCGATGATTTTACCTTTCACCTTAGTAAACTTCTCTTTCCTGCCTGTGTCGCTGCAGCTGCTGCGCAGGTTCTGGGACCTCTGGCAGTGTCGGATTGAGCAGAAGGAGGAAAGAGAGCAGCTCCCTGTGGTGTGCGCCGCCTGGGACCACTACAGGTAGGGACTCCATCCTCATCTTCAAGCTCTCCCAGGCACCTTGTGACCATGACTGTATTCCCCTTGCATGAGTGAGTGCAACTGATTCACAAAGGCCTCCTAGGGGTGGAGGCCTTGCTGTGGACCCCCTGATTCCTGACTTTGTGTTTTAGTGTTTTCTGATTGGACAGGAGGTAGAGTGAGGATCACTGTGGTGGTTCTGGGCCGCCGTGGTGTGAAATGTGTGTCTGGTAGCCTGTTACTACACTGCCTCAGGCTTTGAGCAGGAGTGATGCTCGTGTCTTAGGACGTGTGCGTTGCTAATGTCCAGGGGTCTGTCAAGTAAGTGCTGTATTTGTGGTTCCTTCTTCAAAGGGTGCAGGACGTGTCCCCATGTTTTAGAGTTAGTCATTCAGTTGGAGAAGGAAAAGCACTGCATATCTGTGAGGAAAACTCAGAAGAAACAGGAAAGAAAGTATGAAGTGAAAACGAGTTTCCTGGGGCTGGCATTGTGCCACAGCAGGTTATTCTTCTGCCTGTGAGCTGACGTGGCATCACGTATGAGCCTTGGTTGGAGTCTCGGCTCCTCCACTTCCAGTCCAGCTCCCTGTTAATATGCCTGGGCAAGCAACAGAAAACACCCAAGGACTTGGACCCCTGCAGCAGGGGTAGCAGCAACTGGAGCTGAGCCAGGCTTAGACTCTAAGTCTCCCTTTGGATAGCAAGAACTCAAGTACTTGGACCATTATCTTTGCCTCTCAGGCACATTAGCAGGAAGCTGGATCAGAAGCAGAAGCAGGACTTGATCCAGGCTGATAGGTGTTGTGAGCAGCTTAACCCAAGCAGCAGCTTAACTCACTGCCCACACGCAATACCCACCCCTGGAGAATATTTGACTTAATTCAGAGATACCAGGATGTGTCATGATTCTAAATCTGGCTTATAAAGCTGAGTGTGGCTCTCACTGTCAGTGTCACTATGTGTGTGAAGGGGAGTGAGCCTGTCACAGACCCAGGCCATGAGACTCAACCCTGTACTTGGTCTAATTCGGTTTGCAAGAAAATTGTCAGTTTTTACGCAATTCACAGTCTAAAATTAGGAGTTGACAGATTTCATGTTAGCTGTCAGATTGTTGTTTCTTCTCTCCTAGAATGAAACAAGGAAGCTCCCAGGGTGCCTTTTAGTTCGCAAGGAGTAGCTCACCCAGATTTACCTGCCTTACAAACAAAGCAAAATTTTAGAAACCGGAAGGCACCAGTTGGCTTTACTTGGTGTTGTGCTTTATTTCAGGAAGACATTGCAACACAAGTGTATCAAGTCGTGGCTACAGTATTCCCAGAAGAGGCGATACAAGCAGGTGTGGAGTGCTTTGCAGCAGATAGCCCTCCCGGCTTCTGTTCTTGGATCCATTTGCTTGGGAATTATTCTTGGAAAAGGCCTATTCCAAAAGGTCTTGTTCTGATTTGAAAGAGAAGGTGCTGGAAAAAGACTCAGAAGTATTTCCGCCAAACTCCCTGGTGTCATCAGGAAGTCTGCCTAACTCCCGTTCATCTGCTAGGGAAGTGCTCGTGCCCTCAGAAAAGAATGAGCTCTTATCATTTATTGGAGGAGTAAGTCAGCCCATCACCCAGCGTGACTTCAGGAGAGTCAGGGCCAGGTGCAGAGCCCAGACGCTGTGCTGAACAGTGTGGGGCACGGGTGCCCACAATGTGTGGCAGGGATGGAGGCCAGGGTGACGAATTAGCAAAGGCTGATTGAGAAAGAAAATTTCAACTCAGATCCATGTAAGAAATACTTATTGCACAACTGCTATGCCTGTGATCCTGTAGAAAGAAGGCAAAATTTGTGTTCTCACAGAGCTTATAATTTAGTAGCAGGGCAGTAAGTAAATGTGGACTTGCTGTGACATAGAGTGCTGACTGGGAAGGAGCGCCAGGCCACATTCAGGCTCAGTGGGTGGCGGCGGCCTGGGTGGTGCGTGAGAAGCACCCCTTCCCAGCCATCCCTGGCAGTAAGTCGGGCCACACAGACCAAGCTCCCTGCCAGTTATTTCTGTGCTGCCCTCCCAACCCCCATCTCCATCTGGTGCTAGAATCTAGAGATTCTGGCCGATTCTCCATAGTTTTGGGGATAGAATCCAAATTTTCAGGGCTGTATGCAAGATTCCTGTGGGAGGCTGATCCCTGATGGATTTCCGCCCTGTCCTGTTGCTGCCCCACTAACTGCACTCCGGCCACATAAGCTGCTAGCCGTTCCCTGGATGTGCTTCTCATGGTCCCTGCGGTTCTTGATTCCTCACTACCTCCCAGCTCAGGGGTGTGCTCTCCTCCCCCGGCCCCACCCTCCTCCTGTGTGGTTTTATCAGCATTCACTGTGTAGTCCTGCCAGGCTGTGAGCTCCTGAAGGGTGCAGCCTGTCTCTTTCACCTGACACAATGCTTGGTGTACGGTAATGTGTGCTGACTGTTATCTGGACGAGTAAATGTGCAAGTGGATGAACCAACTGCCGTTGATCATGCTGGAGCTTTACCCAGAGATTGTCTCAGTTCTAGGAGTGTGGATAGAGCCAACCCAGGGCATGGCTTTCGTGCTGCCCTTGCCTTCCACATCTGGAAAATGCCTCAAGTCCCTTCATTCTCTGACATCCCTTTGGGTTGTGTTGCTGAGAGGACATTGCCACTTGCTCCCTTAAGTTCATTTACTGCAGGTGGTACAGAATATAGGGAGGCCCTTTCGAAAAAGACTGAGTTTAGGATTGAAAGGTTGTATGTATTCAGGAGGAACCCTCCTTTTCCAACACTGTTAGAAAGTCAAGGGTCAGGGGGCCGGCAATGTGGCACAATTGGTTAAGCTCCACTTGCAGCATCAGTATCCCATCTGAGCACTGGTTTGAGACCCAGCTGTTTCACTTCCAATCCAGCCCTCTGCTAAGGCGCCTTGGAAAGCAGCATAAGATGGTCCAGGTGCTTGTGCGCCTGCACCCATGTAGGAGACCCAGAAGAAGCTTCTGGCTTCAGATCGGCCCAGCTCTGGTTGTTGTGGCCATTTGGGGAGTGAACCAGCAGTTGGAAGATCTCTCTCCCCCTTTTTCTCTGTAACTCTGCCCTTCAAATAAACAAATGCTACTGTTTGGGAAGCAACCCTCCAGAAGGCTGACTTCAAAAGCTCCTTGTCTTTTTGAAAAAAAAGATGTGAAGCACAGAGGCCATTCGTTGTTTCCCTGCAGCTGTTGCGAGCCAGAGCAGACGACCATTTCCAGCACAGAGCCCTGCCCGCTGCCTTCCACGCGTGGCACAGACTGTGGCGGTGGCGCCAGCAGGAAAGTGTCCTCCACTCGACAGCAGTGCGTTTTCACAGGTATGCGGTGTGACACCTGCCTGCCTTGGGGCAGGTGCCTGAGTCCAGCTCTGCCCACCACCCGGCCCACTTGTGTTGCTTCTCAGCCGCCCAGTGCCCAGGCTGAGTCTTCTGGTTTTTCTCTCATGTGAGCTCACTGGACTCATTGAGCAGGAGGAGTCAGCCAGGGTTTCTCCTGGGAAAAGCTGAAGTCCATCTTTGACGGCAAGTGCTTTCCAAATAGCCTGTGTCCTCATCTCTGGCTGCAGAGAGAGTCATGAGCGCTGCCCGTTAACTTTCGGGATCAGCTAGGTGGCAGGCACTCCCGAGCGTGAGTTTCCTGCAACACTCAGTTCCTGTTTTGCTAGACTTGGCTTCTTGAAGTCTTGCAGTTATAGTCATCATCAGAATTAGAAAGTCAAGGAACATCTCTGGCTCCTGCAGGGCAGACGTGCTCCGGGCAGGTCCTTGCTGCGTGCTGGTGGCATGCAGTGAAGAAGTGACCGATTGCTGACTGTGTGTCTGCCAGTGAGGTGGGCAAGGTAATGGAAGGAAGACAGCAAACATGGAGTGTTCAAAAAGTTGGTGGAAATGCATACTGCGAAAAAAGTACACATGGGTTTCAATTTTTTCCACAAAATAAACACCCTTTTTCCACAAACTTTTTGAAGCATGCTTATGTAAACTCATTCTGCCTATGACACCATCGTCTTCGTTAATAATTTCCTTCCTTACAAACCGAGAGAACAGCCTCCAAGTGATAAAGGACCTGCCTGTGGTGACACAGTGAGTGGCAGAGCCGTGGGTCAGATCCCCAGCTCCAGTGCCAAAGTCCACCGCTTTCTGCGTGGCCAAAGCAGACATCTTCTTGATGGTTTTGTTGGAGCTTTAAATTCTTGTGGTTAGGTTGATGCACGAGAGACAGTGGACAAACAATTTCAGGGGGCAGATCCTTGTGTGCACAGTTGTGTCAGCCTTGATAAGGTCTCTGGAACTTGGAGGGAGAGCTGGGGAGTGCAGAAGTATCAGGGGGGCTTCCTGTGAGCCAGGGGATGAGGATGGATAGGCAGAGTCATGAGATGAGGGGATTGGACTGGGCTTGTAGGTAAGTGGTGGACACATGTTTGAACAGGTGCGTGGAAGGCTTAGAGTGACCGTTTTGGGGATAACCCAGACACAGCGTACTCTTAGAGAGATGGGGGGCATGCATTGAGAGAAGTTACATGGATCTTGGATTTGGAGGACCCTGACATGCTGGGGTTTTTTTTGTTTATTTTTTAAAGATTTTTATTTATTTATTTATTTTGAGAGGCAGAGTTACAGAGAGGGAGAGCAGAGAGAGGGGTCTTCATCTGCTGGTTCGCTCCCCAAATGGCTGCATCATTTGGAGCCGGGCTGATCCAAAGCCAGGGGTCAGGAGCCTCCCCTGGGTCTCCCTCAGAGGTGCAGGGGCCCAAGCACTTGGGCCATCTTCTGCTTTCCCATACCTTAGCAGAAAGCTGGATCAGAAGAGGAGCACCTGCAGGCAGAGGCCCAGCCCACAACGCCACAGCGCCAGCCCTGAGATGCTAGTTTAAGAGAAGCAGCGGCACTGTGGCGTAGCAGGTTAGACTGCTGCTTGTGGTGGTGGCATCCCATATGGGTGCCAGTCTGAGTCCCGGCTGCTCCACTTCCAATCCAGCTCCCTGCTGATGAGCATGGGAAAGCAGTGGAGGATGGCCCAGGTGCTTGGGCCCCTGCACCCACGTGGAGACCTGGATGAAGCTCCTGGCTCCTGGCTATATTGTTCCACTGTCACTCATCTCATGTGGTGTTTTTCAGGGAGACATTGGAGAAGAGAGTGTTTTCTCTCTGGTGGCAGAAGATGTTTGCACAGCGAGAAAACCGCCTGGCAGAGAGAATGGTAAGAGGCTGCATCTGAGGAGGCACATGAGGGGCCTCCTACCCCCCGGAAGTCACCGGAATCCAGACCCCCACTCTAGGTCTCCTGCCTGTGGTTCATAAAGCAAGGGCAGGGTCTGGGGCATCTGTGTCCTTTGTCGCTGGAGTTCATGGATTTCCCAGGCACCCATTTCTTTGGCTGTGGCCATGATCGGTGTCCTGCAGATTCTTGCCCGGCTCCTGTAACCCCTGTGCTCAGCGTGCTATGTTTCTCCCCGTCCTGCCACAGGCCATCCTTTATGCGGAACAGCAGCTTCTGCGTAGGTCCTGGTCCATGTGGCGCCAGCAGGCAGCAGCCCATCACCGGGAGCGGGAGTGGCAAGCAGTGGCCTGTGCCCACCACGGCCACGAGAGGCTCAGGAGAGCGTTCTGCATCTGGAGGGGCCGTGCCTGGGTCCTGCGAACAGAGTGAGTGGTCCGCACTGCCTCAGGAGCCCCTCCCACCCAGCTTGCTGCCGTCATGCTGGCCATGCCACATGCCCGACCCGAGGGTTGTGTCAGCCTAGACTCTGGTTTTAAGTTCTCTAAATTCATCCAGAAACAGTCTAAGCAAAGCAGGACTGTGGTGGCAGGACCTTGGGCTGCCTCATGAGGCCACTGGCCTCATCCTGCTTATTGGTTGGGGCCCATTCGTAGTGACTGTGGCCACAGATTAGACTGGTGGCCCATGTTCGAATAGCGGACCATCCTGGGGAAGTGGGCAGTGATGGCAGTTTTTACCACACCATGTAGCTAGAAGAGCAGGAGCTCTCCATAGCCACCCTGTGCTTTGAGCCACTCACCCCATCAGCACACATTTAACCTCCACCTTGGTGAGCGGCTTCAGCTTCTGCAGCTTAGCAGGCTTTGGTGGTACTTAGCACCCTGAGAGAGAGCCCCCGAAACTTGACCCCTGGGTGGGGGCCGGGGGCTGCATCGAGGCTGGCAGCTGAGCTCTGCGTGTCGCCCACAGGAGGACAGGCAGGGCCCAGGCTGTGGAGATGCACTCGGCGCGGCTCCTGCACTGGGCCTGGAGCAGGTGGCAGGAGGTAAGGCGTGGCGCTGGTGCCGTCTGGGTGTGACTTGGACAGGTGGAGCTGTGTGTCGGTGTGACGGTGTGACGTGGCACATAGATGGGCTCCACCACAGCCCCTCAGCAGCCGCCGCCTCTGAGCCGAGGGGGAGAAGTGCGAACTTGCTTTGGGAAGATGATTGGCTCCAAGTTCCTGGCAGTAGGCTATGCTTATCTGAACTCATGGGATCAGAGTCCTGGTCTCAGCATTTGCAGGGCCCTACGGAGGGTACAAAGTGTCTAAGCAAACACTGAGCCTCCACTTTGAGTCGGGCCCTGCTCACAAGACCCTCATTCGTAGCAAGGGACTGAGGCACAGAGAGGTTCAGTATCTTCTCGGCACTCACACACAGGGTGTGCAGTGAGGCAAGGCTGGGCCCACCCACCTCATCCCTCTGCCTGCAGAGCCTGGCCCTGCGGGGAGCCGAGCGCTGGAAGCTGCTGCGAGCAGAGCTGCATCACCAGCGTGCCGTGCTGCACCGGGCGCTGCGGAAGTGGCTGGTAGGAGCCACTTCTCCTCCTGCTTGCCGGGGGGCCGGGGAGGTTTCTGAAGACAGTTTCTCTTTTCCTTCCTCAGCGAGACACAGTGCTTCCCCGAGCCACAGACAGGTGCCCCTGGTGGTGGGTGTCAGAGGACAGGCTCCTTCCATCCTTGTAGAGCGCAGTGAAAGCAGACGCTGGGTGGGGAGCAGCTCAGGGCTCAGGGCCCATGGCGGCCTCACTGGGCAGTCTCCTTCCCGATGTCTGGGTGGGCCTGTGGGCCTTGACTGAGGGTTTAGTTTCTGCACCCTCTGTACATGCTCTGGGCATGGCGTTTCCTATTGTAACCATACCACTGAGGCAAGGAGAAGGCTGGAGCAAGGAGCAGGCTGGGCCCAGAGGCGGCCCCCAGCCCTCCTTGTCCGCCACAGACTTACCGGGACCAGGTGCAGAGCATCCTGCAGGAGGTGACAGCCAGGGAGAGGCGGCACCACAGGCAGCTGCTGCGGTGAGTCTCCCGAGCCTGCCCAGGGCTCAGGCTGAGGAATGAACGGGCCTGGCCACAGCAAGCGCTGGTCTGCTGGCTGCAGAGCGAGGCTTTAGAAAGCAGCTCCCCCAAAGCCTGCGAGGCTGCTTGCCTGGCCTGCTCCACCCCGCAGAGATCACGGGCCACCTGCGTCTCCCTGGGGAGGGCACTCAGGCAGCCTCGTGCAGCTTCCCCAAAGCCCATCCTCCAGTTCTAAGCTCTGGACGTGCTCCTTCCCAGTGGGCCTTGCTCCTGCCTCTCTTTGTTTTCCTTCTTTCATGTTGGTTCAGCACGTGCTGTTCCAGGCAGCCTGAAGGCGGTGGGCCTCTTAGCTTTAAACACATCCATACTTCCTTTGGGCCCCACCAAGCAGCTGTCCAGCACTTCAGACAGCAGGAGGAGAGGGGCTCCCCGAGCTCGCTCTGGCACGCACGCATGCACGCACGCCCTTCCTCCAGCTTCCCTGGCCCCCGAACTTCTCTCATCATCGCAGTGTGAGTCACCTATGATGACATCATCTGGTTCTGGCCCCACAGAAATTCCTGAGGACAGGGAGCAGTGCCCAGCACCGAGCAGGTGCTCTCCGAATGCACCATGGGTGGCCACACTGTGAGCCTGGTGTCAGTGTGACCGGTCCCCCGAGGCAGAGAGCCCCAGCCCAGGAGAACAGGGAGGAGGAATGACTCCTGAGGGTCCCCCTGTTTCTCCCTGCTGAGGCCTGTGCACCTGCAGGTGGGTGTTATGCCACTGGAGACAGAACACCGTGGCCTGTGTGGATGAAGCCAGGAAAACTTCCCAAGCATCTGCTCACTACAGAAGGACCCTCTGTTCCAAGGTGAGGTTAAGGGCAAAGCTGCTCACCCTGGGGGTATGGCGACTATTTCCTGGCAAGAGTTGAGGGTGGTGCCAGACATTCAGACAGAACAAGGGGCCCAAAGCATGAGGAATTCCACATGTGTAGAAAGTACTGGTTCTGATAAGAATTCGTTCAGGGGCAGGCATTGAGATGCCTGTGTCCTGTATTGGAGGCATGGGGTCCAGACTTCTTCTTTTTTTCTTTTTTTAAATATTTATTTATTTGAGAGGCAGAGTTAGAGATGGAGAGAGGAGAGACAGAGAGATCTTCAATCCACTGGTTCACTCCCCAAATGGCTGCTATAGCCAGAGCTGGGCTGATCAGGAGCCAGGAGCTTCCTCTGGGCCTTCTTTGCAGGTGCGGAGGCCCAAGCACTTGGGCCATCTTCCGGTGCTTTCCCAGGCCACAGCAGGGAGCTGGATTGAAAGTGGAGCAGCCGAGACTTGAACCTATACCCATGTAGGATGCCAGCACTGCAGGCAGAGGCTTAACCTACTGTGCTGCAGCGCCAGCCCCATGAGTTCAAGTTTTGACTCATCTCATGATTCTAGCTTCCTGCTAATGCACCCTGGAAGCCAGTGATGGTGGCCTAAGTGCTTGGGTCCCTGCCACCCACGTGGGAGACGTGGACTGTGTTCCTGTCACCCGGCTTTTGATCTGGCTTAGCCCCAGGGACTGTGGACATTTTGGAGGGGAGGGGTTGAACCTTCAGATGGGAGTGTTCTCTCTCTCTCTCTCTGTGTCTCTCACAAGTAAAATTAAAGTTTTTTTTTTTAAGTATCACTGCTTTTTTAAAAAAGAGGATGTCATGTTTTTACTGAATTACAAATCCATATCTGCTGAAACAAGAACGCGGCACACAGTCAATAAACTGCTTCTTACTTGAGCCAGTACTTTCTGCACATGGGGACAAACTGTGTGAACCGCTGAGCTCTAGTCTCCTTCCCCTCCTCCTCCTCCATCAAAAGACGATGCTGGGACAGGCTCTGGGCCACAGAGGCTTTCTGGGTAGCACACAGTGTCCAGGGGGTAGGTGCTTGGTCATCTTCAGTGGGAGGAGACCCCAGATCACCACCTTGTTCCACTGGAGTAGAAGTAAGGAGATGCCATGTGGTAGCACTGGTGCCCAGGGGGTGGGGAGGGCTGGCAGGCGGTGGCCGTGGGAGGAAAATGATGGACCACAAAGAGCGCCTTCAGACAGAAACAAATGACAGAGCACAGAGTAGTCCCTGAGCCCGAGCATTTAGAAAATTTAAAACATTTTATTTATTTTTGTTGTATTTGAAAGGCAGAGAGAGAGACACAGAGATTGTTCATCTGCTGGTTTACTCCCCAAATGCCCACAACAGCCCATTCTGGGCCCGGTCAAAGCCGGGAGCCAGGAACTCCATTTGGGTGGCAAGGACCCAAGTGCCTCCAGGGTGCAATTAGTAATAAGCTGGAGTTGGCAACAGAGCCAGGACTTGAACCCAGGCGTTCTCAGGCGGGATGTTAACTACTGCGCCAAACCCCTGCCCGTGTATTTCTTCACCTCTCTTTTTAGCTAGCAGAGACAGAGCTCCCATCCGCTGGCTCGCTCCCTCAATGTCCACAGTGGCAAGGGCTGGGCCAGGCAGAAGCCAGGCACTCAGGTCTCCCGTGTGGTGGCCGGAATCCAACAACTGCTGCTTCCCAGGGTGCACGTTAGCAAGAAGCTGCCAGCGAGCGCAGGGCAGGACTGGAACCCAGGTGCTGTCACATGGGGAGAGGGCGTCTGTAGCTTCACCACCAGGCCAGACCCTTCCCCCAGTCAGCCTCGTTAGGAGACAGCAGTGTGTGGGAGCCCTGGCTGCAAGGCAGGCGCTGGTCCTGACAGCTGCAGCCAAGGGGGAGGGAACAGTTGCATCTGGTCAAGGCCCCGTCTGTTTTCAGACAGACTTGGAGGCCAGGCTGTGCACCCCCGCCCTGGTAAGGAGGAAGGAGAGCAGGAATCTTGGCTTAGGGCATAGAGAGGGGGAGGCCGTGTAGGTGGGAAAGGAGTTCAGGGCTGTATGGAGTGGCCACAGGCCTCCCTGGCTGCCAACTTATTTTTTTTAAGTGTTTTGCTACTGTGATTTTACTCTCTCATAGGAACAGGGCAGATACGTGCATGTTCTGTTTGCTAAATAACAGAATTATACCCATGTAATGACTTCTTCATTCCCTTCTGCCATAAGTCTCAGTGCCTGCGGTGCTGGGCTAGCTGTGGGGGGCCTGGGGCTGTGTCCTGTGGCTGTGTGGATCTCAGGCGCCTCAGCCACTCCTCCCCTCAGGAGCTGCTGTCGCGGGCCTGGGGTTCCCCAGAAGTCAGGACACGTTCCGATGACCCCTCAGTTCCTCGCCTGCCTGTAGGTCCTGATCCAGTGGCGGGAGGTGGCCTCTGTGCGGATTTACTACCGACAGCAGGAGGCCTGTGCCGTTGAGGAGGCCCGGAAGGTGCTGGAGAGAGGTAAGTGGGGGCCCGGAAGAGCAGGGTGACTGTCCTGGGGTCTCTGCTGCCCCGCCCCGTCTCGTCACGTGCACTGGTCCTCTGGCACTGTGTATCAGAGTGCCGTAGACTAGGAAGTGTGAGGTCAGTGTCAGCAGCACCAGCCTCCCTCTGAAGTCTCAGGGGGCAGGGGCAGGGATCCCGCCCCTCTTCCGCTTTCTTTCTGGTGGCTGTGGCAGCCCGATCAGTCCCTGGCTTGTGGACGTATCATACCCGCCTCTGTCTCCATGTGGTCCTTCCCTGTCCCTGGGTCGTTCCTTTCAGGGACACGGGTCTCACTGAGGGCCCGCCCTACTCCCATACGACGTCACCTTAACTAATTACATCTGCGCTGACCCCGTTTCCAAACAAGGTCCCAGGAAAGACATGAAGGGGGGCGGGGGTGAACACAGCGTGGAGTTCTGTCCTCTGGTTGCCATCCAGTTTATGATAACGTGAAAGGCCAAGGCTTGAGATTCAGAGACAGGAAGAGATGAGTCTGCAAGGGGGGGGGGGGTCCTCGGTGGTGGGGGAGGGCTCCTGACAAGGCAGTCCTACCAGAGCCTGCTGCTTGTCAGGGCCCTGCCTCCCTGCCAGCCGGGTCCTCATGTGTTCAGGGACCAGAACTGCGCAGATGCCTGCATCTCACGAGATACACAGACCCGCGAGAGACACACAGCCTGGGTGCCCTGCAGTGGGGGGAGGCGACACTCTGAAGGGGATGCTCATGGTTAGAATAAATGAAAATCTGAATGTTGTGAAAGCAGTTTGCTGTGGTTTACCTTGGACCACAGAGAGAGCCAATCATGGTGTTACACTGGCTTCACAGATTTGCTCCAGGACAGAAACGCCTACCCCTTGGTTTGGTGCTGGCTGTACGGTGTGTGAATGCTCGCAGGACCCTGACAGCCTGTGCACAGGGCCCCAGGGTCAGACACACAGCACCTCCTCCTCCATGAACCCCCTGTGCCCACAGCTCAGAAGCCAGTGCTGTACTCTGGCTCCCCAGGGGGCTGTGTTCGCCTCTTCCTTGGCCTTTGTTCTGGTGGAGCTTCTGCACCTGCGTCACGTACGCCAGGCTGGGCCGGCTGCCTTTCCTTCAGACGCCCACCCCGGCCATGCTGGGAGCATCACGTTCAAGGTGTGGCCTGAAGCTGCTTCTCTGAAGCACTTGCCCTTGAAGGCAGGCCCTGCGGTTGCCGTGTCCACTGTGTACAGTATGAGGGACTTGGGATGCTGGACAACAAGACGTTGCACGTAGCAAGTCCATGGCCAATACCTGTGGATGTTTCCTGGCTTTTATTCAGACCTGAGTCTCGGGCACATCTTGACAGTGCAGGGTGGGGCTGGGTGCCGGGGAAGATGTCAGAAGACACATGACGCAGAGTGCCCAGGAAGGGCTGGCTCAGCCAGCCGGGGCGTGACCTCAGGCAAGGGCCTCCCCTGGACCCCGACCCCGGGTTGTCAGGAGGACCCAGTGAAATGATTGAGAAGGAGACATGCAGACGGGACGGAGCTGTACCCACAGTATCAGCACCTGGTACCACAGTTGGCTTCCAGGGGGCCATCGCTGCCTTCCCTGTCCGCCCCGACCGAGCTCCCCGTGTTGGCATCTGTGCCCCAGGATCAACCCTGCTCTCATCTGGAGACGGGAGCAAACTGCAGAGCTCTGGGAGTGGGGACGCAGCCCGCAGCCCAGCCGAGCGCACCTCCCCTCACCGCCCGTCCCCTGGGGCTGTCACTCAGGCTGGTTGGACTTGTCTGAGGGCCTGGGCTGCCCTCCTGTTAGAATGAGCCGCTTCCTTCTTTTGCTTTTCCTCTTCCTTCCCCGCCCCCCCACTTCTCTTCCTCCTCCCTCAGGCAGGGGCCAGGCAGCTCCTTGTGCGGGACTGGGAGAGGGTCCCTGGGGGCACAGCGTGAACAGCTCCTCTGGTCCCAGCCCCGAGGGTGCTTGGTCACCTTAGAGAGTGTCCACTGTCCACATGAGATGGTTCCACCCAGGGGCCCGGACACCCCGGCTCTATCCCCACACGTGCTCCACCCTGAACCTTCCCGGCTAGTCGTCACCGGTGGAGATCCCACGAGAGCCTGCCGTGGTGTGGGTCTGCCCTAGGCTGTCTGCGGACCTGGTTGCGGCGCTGGCGGGACTGCAGCCGGAGAGCAGCCCAGCAGAGGGCCCAGCTGCAGAGGGCGGCCCAGCACCGCCGCCGGCAGCTGCTGCAGGACGGCATGGCCCGGTGGAAGAGGCACCACCTGGGCTGTGTCAGGAAACAGGTGAGGCGGCTGGCGGCGCTCCAGGTTCCCCTTTGTCACAGGGCGGGGAGGGGGGTGTTTAGGCCAGGGACAGCCTCATGAGGGGCCTCTTCCTGCTTTGTGTGGCTGGGTGGTTCTGGGTCCTACAGGAGACACCCTGAGCATTGAGTGGGGGTGGGGGGTGGGGGTGGCCAGCCTCAGAATCATGGCCCCCAAGGGAAGATGGCTCAGCAGAGAACCTGGGTCACACTGACCCCTGGCTGGTCAGAGCTGGGGGATGAACAGCCGTGCAGTCACCTCTGGTCTGTGTCTGAGGCCTTGGCACCGTCCAGGCCTCCTGACCACAGGTGGACATTTATTTGTGCCTGGGCCCACTCAGTGGTTGCCCCAGAGGCCTGGGCTGCACGTTTGCCCTGGTTGCTGGGTTGGGGACCTGACTCCCTGGGTGCCTGCTCTCTCCCCAGCTGCTGCAGAGGCAGGCCACCCAGTTCCGGGCACAGAGGCTCAGCCAGGCCTGCTTCCAGCAGTGGAGACAGCAGGTGAGAGCCCCTGCGGTACACCTTCCCCACTTCCTCCTCCCGCCGGCTTGTAGGGCGTGGGCTGCCCACACCTCTATTCAGTATTGGTACTGTCACCCTTGACCCTCGGCCCCCTCCAGCCGCTTCCTTCCACCTGACCTGTAGGCCACTTGTTTCAAGGCCTGCTTTCTCGTTCTGCAGCATCCTATGTAAAACACACTGGTGTAATTCCGCAAAATTAATAGGAAATGCACTTGAAGTCTTTGCCAAGGCCTTGATAAAAAGCCAGGAGAGCTCATTCGCATTCAGTTGTGCACAGCAAACCCCTTCAGCCCGCAGGTCCCGCTTGCTCTCCTTGGCTGCAGCCAAGATCTGAGCCCAGCCCCTCCCAGCTCCCTAAACTGCACGGCCTGCTGCCTGCCCAGAGCCCTGCTGCCTGCATTCCTCCAGTCATTCCTTGATCCACGGATCAGGAGTGCGGTGAGCCCCCCGCAGCCAGGCACGGGCTGGGACCTTCTGAGGCAAGGGAGGGAAGCCCCAGCCACAGAGGCTGTGAGTGAGGAGCCGCCACGTTGGAACAGGGCTGTGTGGTCAGGGCAGCCTCCTGGAGGAGGTGAAATGGACGTAACCCCATCTTTCTGGCCCTAGCTGGAGGCCAGGAGGCAGGAGCAGCGGGCTACGGTGCAGGCCCTGTGGTTCTGGGCCTTCTCGCTTCAGGCAAAGGTAACGGCCTGCCTGGGGTTGGGGGGACGAAGGGGCACCTGCTCTGTTGGGGTGGATCTTGGGCAGAGCCCCCGGGAGGCCTGAGCAGGGCTTCCTAAGCCTCAGGCCCGTTCTTGGAGGTGTGGACGGCATGGCTGGGCTTCGTGCTGGAGAGGAGGAGGAAGAAGGCGCGGCTGGAGCGGGCAGTGCAGGCCTACCACCAGCAGCTCCTCCGGCAGGGCGCCACACGGCTTCTGCGCTTCGCAGCTGACAGGAAGGCCGCCCGGCAGCAGCTGCAGGCCCAGCAGCAGGTCCAGGTAGGCCCCAGGCCTTCGCCTGTTGTGGGGAGCGAGCCGGGCACGGCCTGAGCTGACAGCGGCTACGTTGCAGGCTGCCCACAGTCTCCACCGTGCAGTCCGCCGCTGTGCCCTGCTCTGGAAACAGAAGGTGCTGGGCAGGGAGCCTTGGCCCCCAGCCCCCAGCGCGTCCAGCAGGAGAGTGACATCCGAGGGTCCCCTCCTCAGCCGCATTGCTGGGGACGCCACCCGAGCCCCTCGGCCTGAGGGCGCCCTGGGCACTGAGGCCCTGGCTGCCGGGGAGCCCTCTCTGCTGGAGCTGTGAGTCGTCCACCCTGAGGAGGGAGGGAGGGGCCAGCGGTCAGGCCTTGCCCCCAGCCCCTCCAGCAGGTCCCAGCCCCCGAGGCTGGGGGAGAGGATGGGCTGGGATTTCCCAGACTCTCCTTTTCCTGCCAAACTGCCAAAGCTCAGGAAGCCCCTCTGCCGCACTTCCTCCCCTCCCCTGTCCTAATTGCTGACCCAGGAAATGACACATGGTGTTGAGGAGAGCCACAGGCTGTTGGACAGCCCTGCCTCTGCCCCTGGGCCTGCCACTGTCTCCCCAGACCTGTCACCCTGTGCTGAGCCTGTGGTCACTGCCTGAGAACCCTAGGGCCCTGGGGCAAGATCCGGGTGGCCTTGGACCCCCATCCCTGCTCTGCTCCTTCCTGCCTGACCTTGGCAAGACCCTGAAAGTTCTCAGAGGTTGTCCCTCCCACCCCCCAGGACATGGGAGGAGCACCCACGCCCACCAGGGCTACTACACAGGTTGGATCCATGCATGCAGCAGCCCCTCACGCTCATGCACATTTTGCCAGATTTCCTGCACACTCTCCCAGCCTGGGTCACCCCCTGCCAACCGTCTACTTGTTGACCTTGGCTGAGAGCCCAGCCTTCAGTGTTCCTGTAGGGCTGGGGAGACTGGACTAGAGATGGCAAGGCCCCTGCAGCCCCTGTCTGCCTGAGGATCCTGTGTTCTCCCCAGCAGGGCTGCACACTCTGTGAGGAAGCAGCCACGACGCCCACACTTCCTGCTGGAGCCCGTGCAGAGCCATGCGTCCTTAAGATGCGGCACCCTTGGGGGGCAGCGGTAGGCCGTGTGTTTTGGGGGCTATAGGATGGGGGGATCCGCTTTGCTTCCTCAGTCCAGACTGCACTCAGCGAAGGGTTCCATAGGCTGACCAGGTTCCTGCCTTCCCTGTGCCCAGGACCGAAAAGCTGCAGGCGTGTGGCCTGGGCATGGCCCCACCAGCAGGCCCTTCCCTCACAAGGCCCTTCCTGCCTGGGGCCCTGCCGAGTGCCCCCAGCCCTCAGCTGCCCCCGGTGGCAAGTGCAGGCCCAGAGCTGCTGCTGCTGCCTCCCTCCTCCTTCATGCCCCGCCGGGTGGAAGCACCAGCCAGGGTAAGTTCTCCAAAAGACCTGGTCACCGACTCCCACCCGCTCGTCTCATCCCCGTATGTTGCTCTTTCTCCTGCCCTTGGTGCCGTAGCATGGCTGTACTCATTTCTGGAACACCCTGGCACCAGAAGAGCAAGCCACTCACTCAGCCAGCAAGCATAGGTGCCCACGGCACACCAGGGCCAAGGGCACAGCAGCTGAGGCCCCCACCCCTGGGAAGTTTCTGTGCTAGTGGCCCTGCAGACCCTTGAAGTGACCGCAGATCATGTAGGGTCAGGCCGGCCTCAGTGGGGAGTCAGCCGAAGGCTGCAGCAGGCAGCACATGCGGGGTTAGGTCCCTGTGGTCCATGTGACGCAGGCAAAAGATGCAGGTGGCCAGGACTCGGCCGCCGCTGTGGACACAGACGATTCCCTCTGGAGCCGGAGGAGGTAGGACCTGCCCCTGATGGACTTGGGAGAGCAGAGGGGAGGAAGGAACCCAGGGTGACCCTGAGAATCTGGCCTGAGTAACACGGGGAAGGAGTTCTTGAACCGAGAGAAGTAGAACCGGGTGAGGGCCAGATTGGGGCGAGGCATCGAGAAGGCAGAGCACGGGGCCTGGCTAGGGGAGAGGTCCCAGCCAGAGATCTAGGTGGAGGGTCCTCAGTGTAGGCTAAGGGACGCCCCTGGAGCCGACTGTGATCACCGGGCGGTGAATTTAGGAGGCGGGGGAGGGGTGGGGGAGTGGGCCTGGGGACAGGAAGGAGCCAGTTCCAGCAGTGAGTTTGGCCTTGTGGGATCAAGGACACGAGGCTGGAAGCGGGCATGGGGTAGTGAGAGGAAGTCTACCAGAGAGAACCGGGGAAGGCTCCGGGGTGGGCTGGGCACTGAGAGCTTCTGCAGGGGTGAGGCGGGCTCCGGGGTGGGCTGGATGCAGAGGGTTGAGTAAACCTTCAGAGTAGCTGGAGTGTTGCTGAACCACACCCCTGGAGGGACTGAAGGTGTCAGGGCTGCAGGCCAGGGCAGGGCCAGCCTGGGTGGGACTCCTGGCCTGGCCTGGCCTGCCCTGCCCCTCCCCTGCAGGACATAGTGGGCAGCAGGGCTGAACGGGGGATGAGGACTTGGTACCCTCTCCCCAGGCTTCCTCCTGTCATCTCTGCCCAGCATCTACCCTTCCTCCTTTCCAGGTGTCAGCACAGCTGGACACCCCTGGGCTTAATGTCCAGGCTCCGCCAGCCCTGACCAGCGTCCCTGACCCCCATCTGCTCCTCCCGGGGGACTTCACGGGCACGAGGGATGGGTCTGGTGCTGAAGCTGCAGGTGCGTGCCTGGCCCTGTCAGGGCAGTGGGGACCTGCCGTTCACCCATCCCGCGGGGAAATGGTGAAGAGCAAGCATGTCCCACGCTGTCCTGTCGCCGCAGGCCACGCTGACCTGGAGGCTGAGCTCGAGGGGATCCAGCAGCAGCTGCAGCACTACCAGAGCACCAAGCAGAACCTCAGGTGCGGCCCAGGAGGCCCCCGCCACTGCCCGCGGGCGGTGGGGAGCTGTACAGAGGCCGTGCTTCCCACCAGGATGCTGGGCTGAGCCTGCAAAGTGCCGCGGGCCCCGGCTGCGCTCAGCGGCCCTCAGCAGCCTCGGAGATTTGAGGGAAGCAGCCTGGTCCCCTCGTTCTCAGCTCTGCATAGGGGAGGAGGGGCTTCCGGCTTCCCTCACTCTCTGCCCAGGAACTGTTCGCTGGAGGAAGAACACGTTTGGCTGCTGGGCCTGGAGGGAGGGCAGGGGTCCTGCCAGGCCCTTCTCTGCCCCACCATATCCCTGCACCACCATTAGCTGGCGTGCTTCTTCCCGGGCCCAGGGGGAGCCTATGAGGCTCCGTGGAGAGACCAGCCTGGCACACACAAGGTGTCCCCGACCCACAGGTCCTGCCAGCGCCAAGCAAGCAGCCTGCGCAAATGGCTGGAGCTGAGCAGGGAGGAACCCCGGCCGGAGGACCAGGCCGAGGAGCAGAAGGTGCAGAAAGAGCTCGAGGAGGTAAGGTCCGGGCCAGCCCCAGGCCAGCCCCGGGCCGGGCCGCCCCTCAGCTGGCTCTGTCGCTCCTGCCTGCAGGTGGAAGTGCAAATCCAGCTGCTGGCAGAAGAGCTCCGGGCCCAGCGCCAGCCCATTGGGGCCTGCATCGCCCGCATCCAGGCCCTGCGCCAGGCTCTGTGCTAGGCTGCTGGCCCCAGGCCGTCTGTAAGAACAGAACACAAAGCCACAATGGGTTTTCCTTTTTTATTTCAAAATGTTTTTGCGATTAAATGAATTACTGTTCAGAAGTCTCCCACTTTTCATACAAAAATACTGTGCTACTGATACAGTTGAAAAAGTTCAATGACTTCTCCTGCAGGAGAAATTCACAGTGCCCCCAGGATCAACAGGAAGCCTGGCCTTGTCCCTGGCACTGGGCTCCCAGGCCTGCGCACCTGTTTCTCGAGACAGGTTTTCTAGGCACTGACCCACCATACACCAGGGCTCCTCTGCCTGAACCAACAGCAGCAACTCTCCCGTGTTCCGTGGGGACGGGACCCGAGCCCCATCTGCCCTGCGCACTGGATACCCGCAGGTGGGTACAGTGACCCGTCTTGCTCCAGCAGAGGACTCAAGCCACTCTAGAAGGCCACTTGTCAGGGCCTGCAAAGGTCCACATCACTCATGCCGCCCTCAGACATTCAGACGGTCATTTGGCCACAAGTGCAGAGAAGAAAAACCGCGCTTTCCCTGTGAGCAGGGTGAGGCGAGTGTGACGACAGGAAGCGGGCAGCCCTGCTCTGGGCTGCTAGGCAGGTCCACAGTCCGTGCCAAGGGGGCACCTCACCCTGTGCACTGCGTGGGGTGGCAGGGCTAAGGAGAAGCACAGGGCCACAGGAGACAGCCCAGAGGCGGGGAGCAGCAGCAGGAAGGTGCAGCAGCACTTAGCACCCTCAGAGCAAAGTCAAGACCAAGTGCACGCTCAGCCAGGAGTTTATACAGTGTTTAAAAAAAAAAGTCAAAGTTATTCTGAGATGGTCCCAGCCCACACTTTGTAGGCCTGGGCGTGACAGGTGCTCCGGCTACCTCCTGAGGAGGATCCAGGCCCTCTCTGCACATCATCAGGCCCCGCCAGGGCAGCCCTCACGGCACAGCCTCCAGGGCTTCCCCTCGAAGATCCCCGTGCTCCTCTGAGAAAAGATCCCCCGGCAGCCACGGCCAGAAGCAGGCCCTAGAGGGAGCCCAGGGCTTCCCCAAAGCGGATTTTCTGTCCTGGTTTCAGCTTGAAGTTGAAGTCCTTGGGGGCTTCGAAGATGAGCACGATGGTGGAGCCCAGGTTGAACTCGCCCAGGTGCTCGCCCTTGCGCATGGGGATGCCCTCCTTGTTGGCGTGCGTCACGAAGCTGAAGTCGTTGTAGGACCCCTTGCTGTACCTCGGGCTGTTTGTGTGCAGGTTCTGTGGGGGAGGCCAGGCGTCAGGGCCAGGCCATGCAGAGTGCACCCCCCCCCCCCGGGCCTGCTCGGCTCGAGCCCAGCTCTGAAGGCTCTCAGCGTCCTGACACAGCAGCCAGCCCTGCAGGCAGGGGGCTCAGACCCGCACCTTCTTGCACACTCTAGCTGCCCCACCTCCCACCCATTCCTTCCTCCTCCTCACCTCTGACCTCTGTTCCTAACAGGAACAATGTGCCAGGGAGGGAGGTTAACCCCCGCAGCCCCTGGCTCCACAGGCCTGGGCCCTGCTCACCCGGTCAAAGTAGATGCGAATGGAGCCCACGTTGGTGGCCCCCACGGCCGTCAGGGAGAAGAAGCCATGTTTCCAGTCCCCGGTCAGGACCACGCGCTCGTTGTGGCAGAAGAGCTCCTTGATCCAGCGGGCCATGCCAGGGTTCACGGACATCAGCGAGCCTGTGGGGCAGGGAACGTGCTACTCCCTGCCTCAGGACAGCCTGAGACCCACCCCGATGTCACTGCGAGGCAGGGCGGCCCCAGGCTCCCTCACAGCCAGCCAGTGCTCTTGATCTCAGTGAAGCCAATCTAGAGCCGGGGCCCAACATCCAAGGGCAGCTGCCACCCACCTGGGAAGTGGCGCCGGTGGGAGACGGTCCAGTCGGTGGGCGAGTGGAAGCAGTGGTAGTCGCCGGGAGCCAGGTAGATGACGCAGTGGTAGAGCTCGTTCCCCGCCCGGGTGACCAGCTGTTGCTTGAAGGACTCACACGAGGAGGCTGTGGCGTGGGGACGACAGGTGGACCCAGCACGGCCCCGTGGCTTTGGTCAGGGGACATCCTGGCCCCTTCTGCCACCTGCAGCACCCACAGCCGCCTCAGCTGTTCGTCCCTCCCTCCCCACCCTCAGCCCCTCAGCGGCAGGGCTGCCGGGCTCCGCCTGGGCAGTGACCCACCTGTGGGGAAGGGCGGGTCATCCGTGCCAGTGCGAGGGCCCAGGAACGACTCCAGGGAGTATGTGACCCCCTTCACCTGCTCCACCTCACAATTCTTCACCTGCCCAAAGTTGAGGATCTTCCCATCCGAGGGGCTGATCTGGAGGGGAGGGGAGGGCAGGGCCCCTTGTCATCTGCTGGGCACCCAGCCCTGCCATCCAGGACACGCTGGGCCTGGTTCCCAAAGACATGGGCGAGCAAGGTTCAGGCCTCACCACGCTATGCAGGCCGCAGACGGGCCGGGCCTGCGGCTTCAGCTTGCGCCGGAAGAACTCGCTGAGGTTGCGGTAGTGGTGCAGGTCCTCCACGGCGGCCTCCTTCATGTTCACGCCGAAGGTCCAGATGTACAGGCTGTACACCGGCCGGCGCAGCCAGTGGGGCAGCTCCACCTGGTTGAGGCGGCCCCAGGCCCGGGACAGCAAACGCGTCGGCACGGACTTGTACAGGGCCACCTGCAGCCACAGGGCAAGAGGCGGAGTTGGCTACGCTGCCCCAGCTCCAGAGTGCGTTCCCCCCCCCCACACCACAGGAGAGAACCCGCCCAGGGCGGCGCAGTGCCCCAGGCTGCTGTTGTGATGTGGCCGTTTCTTGCTAGGAACCAGACTGTACTTGCCAAACGCACACAGGACCGGAGGCTCTTTAGTCACTACACGCAAAGGTCAGAGTGCAACTGCCCCAGCGGTGGAGGGGAGAGGGTGTGCCAGCCCTGCCCTAGGTCCCTGCCCAAATCCCTCGAGAAAGGGGCAGGGTGCCCAGGACAAGTCTGCAGTACTTGTTAACCGCCAGCACCATCAAGAGCTGGAGTTGCACACAGGTCCCACTGCCCCTCCAGGCCTGGCAGCACTCAGGACACGCCCACACAGCTGCCTGCACCCGCGGCTCCTCCCATGACGCGGGAGGAATCCCTCCCCATTGGTGCCTCCAGCCGGGCTCTCAGGACCGGGAGTCTGGAGCCCTGGAGGGCAGGTGAGCGCTCACAGGTGGCTCAGGCACCCAGGCAGGGGCAGCTCTCAGAAACCTCAGCTGCTGCACTAGAGTGGGAACTTGCCAGCCGCGGCTGCCCCTTGTCCCAGGGTGTCAGCGCCTCTGAGATAACGAACCAGTGGCTCCCAGAACTGTGCTCTCCCTCCTGCTGCTGCCCAGTCACCTGGAGTGGCCTGGGGCTGCTGTGTAACAGGCTGTTCTCAGGAACAGGCCAGAACCTGGCCAGGTCTACTGTCCAGGACGCCCAGTGCCCTGGAGCGCTCCTGATCCCTCCCCCCCACCCCCGGAATTCCATCCTTGTGGTCAGACTGCTGCAAGCCAAGAGCAGACGCAAGCCCAGAGGGACCAGCGACGGCCAGGACAACTCAACTCAGCAGCCGGGCCACCCTGCTTCCTCCCAAACAGACTCCCGCCTTCCTGAACTGCCCCTTGGGCACCCAGGGATTCACTGGGACTCCTGTCACCGCTGAGTTCTCTCTGCCTGAACACAGAGTTTGACTCCCCAGTGTGAACTGCTAGAACCTGAGCCCCAATGGCAGCAGTGAGGCAGGCGAAGACGGCAGGCAGGGGACAGCAAGCGCTCCGGGTCACCTGTGCAGCCCACACGGCCGCTGGGGCCACAGTGGCCTGCGCGCACTTACCCTGCTCACAGGCCTCCATCCCACCCGGCTGAGCGGCCTGAGGGCGCCGAAGGGCAGGAGGTAGTAGAGCACGGTCAGGGGCCAGGAGCGCAGTTTCAGGGCAGGTCTGGACATGCAGCTCAGCTGGCCCAGCCTCCGTCGCAAGGCCAGCTGGGGGAAATGCAACCTGCAGGACACACGTCCGCGCACAGCCCAGGTCAGCAGCCGCAGCCTGCGTGAGGACCCCCAGACCTACCCTGGGCAGTGCCACTCCTGCCCACACTTGGCGTGCCTCCGGGCACCTCCCCGTTCTCAGAGCCCGGCTGCCTCTGGCTGGCAGACTCAGTTCTCATGTCTACAGCCTGCCGGCCGGCTGAAAACTGCCAATAGGGGCAGCCAGACGGAGGAGGCTTAGCCCAGCTCCCGGGCGCCTCACACGGAGCCTTCCAGGGCCAGCATGGGGGAAGGCGGGGAGGAGAGGCTGCCTCACACCCCCCAGTGTCCCCTGGTTCCAGAAGAGTGGAACCCGGGGCCAGCTCTGCTCACACAGGTGCCAGGGAGCCTGAGGCTCCTGGCCTGAACCCCCAGCAGTGCACACAGGAGCTGGCAAAAATCTCTTCCTGGCTGCAGGCCTCTTGTCTCATCAAGGACTTGGGCAGCCAAGATCTCCCAAGCAGCAGGTGCACACACAGACACACCCCCTACTGGCTCTGGCTCTGCCCTCCTGCATGCTCACTCTTCCCACAGCAGGTAGCTTCTCCAAAACCCACCCATGGCTTTATGGGGGGACCTCCCCAGCCCTTCAGCCACCTCCCCTGCAATGAGGGGGCCGTGCGCATGACCCAGGCCCCTCCTCTCAGCCAGGGCAGGGTCTCTCCCCACCAGCGCAGATCCAGTAACTCAGGCACAGGCTCAGCTTCATGGGAGTCACAGAGGCTGGGAGGGATCCTCCCACTGGAACCCTGGCCTCCTGTCCCCTTGTCACAGAGCCAGGCACAGCGTCGCCATCAGAGGAACACAGTGCCACCTATTCCACAAACACCCCCCAGGCCTCAGGCTCCTCATCTGCATGGAAACACTCTCAGCATCTCTGTGACCCTGCGCCCTCTGTCACCCAGGTACTGAGCAAACCAAGGAACAAAGAGGCATCTCGGCCAACAGCAAGAGCAGAAGGAGCGGGGAGTCGAGGGTTAGTGAGGGCGCAGGCAGGCAGGCAGGCAGGCACGCTCTGCAGACAGACAGCTGCGGCCCCGCCACCCACCAACCC